TCTGGAATTATTGTGTTCCTCACATTTGGACCATTCTTTCCTCGGATACCACGCTCACGGGATTCCAGTTACGCATATGTTGGAACTCTTGGTACCATCATCCCAAGGTTCACTGAGGCTGTGTTCATTTTCCTGTAGACTTCTTTCTGTGTATGATTCATCTTGGATAGTTTCTGGTAGTTTGTCATCAGGTTCATAACCTTTTCTTCCACATTGTCTAATATCAATCCCACCTCGTGAGTTTTTCTTTCCAGATATTTCATTTCTCGGGTCTAGAAGTTCCATGTGGCTCTCTCATACCTCATATTTCTCTTCTCACCAGTTCAAGTTTCTTTAAAGTCCTTGAACGTTTTCCAAAGCTAGTAGTTGCTCTGAAGTGAAACCCTTGTCTTTCAGTTCCGTTGTCTCTGTCCTTTGTGAGTCTGTTTTCATTCGCTGAATTTTCTCCTGGGTTAGAGGGAGGTCACATTTTCCTATGGCTTCGCACATCTGGAGGTTTGGTTTCGGATACTGAGTGTTGTGAATTCCATGGGGTCGTGTGGTGGATTTCGTTGTCTTGAAGTGCGTTGGTTCTGCTGCTGACTACTGGGTTAGCGGTGGATCAGCTGATCCTGCGGAAGCTTGTTTCTGAGATTTTTTTTAGTAAAGGGAACTGGGTGAAGCCTTTACTTGAGGGCCAGTTTTGCTCCCTTGCTGAGTGGGGTACAACGAGGGCTCCCCTGGACTAGCAACACATATGGTACATCTCCTAGGCCACATCCTCCGGCCCTGGGCCCTGCCTAGGGGGATTGCCCCCGAGCCTTCAAGGGGAGCAGCTCCGGGCCCCGAGTGCAGGCTCCAGGAGAGCCTTCTGCAGTGCCCCCTCCTCCGTGGGCCTCTGCCCATACATCCGGTGCCTTCAGCCTCCCCAGCCCTTGATCTGGAAGGTTTCTTAAGGCAGTGAGCTGGGCAGGCAGAGACTGCCACAGGGGCCTATAGCATTTGGGGTTCTCCTGAGCCTGCCTGCCCCACCCTGAACCTGACTCAGAGGGAAGGTTAAGAATTGATGAATTATGCAGCCAACTTTATTCCAGTAGGTTCTTGGAGGTGATAGGCTTGATGTGTTTTGAGTCATTCAAATTAAATATATTCGCTTTATAGTAAATAGCCGAGAACCTTTGTTTAGAAAAATAAAAACCTTACTTTGATCTAAAAACAGATTTCCATTGCAAGTAGCAAACCTCCCCCCACAACAAAACAGTGTGTGCCAAAGGCCATTTGAGTGGATGTTAGAAACACCCAAGTGGTTTTAGTACATTTTAGAACTCTTTAGAGATTTCTCTTTTCTTAAGCATTTTCATAACAATTTTAATTTCGTTACCCTTCATTGAACTGTTGCTGGGCCTCTGAGCTGGGAGTTTGTGGCAGGTGGGGTGGTCACATGCCGGTGTGCAGGACACTCCAAATCAGATTCCTGCAGCCCCAGGAGAGGACCCCCAACTGGGACCTATGGTTCCTCCTGGAAATCTTAAGTGGGGCGGGGGGGGGTGGGCACAGTAGCGAACAGGTGCCCCATGTGGAAGAGTTTGCACAAAAGGTCAAGGTAGTCTGCCCTGGGGTGGAGGAGCTGAGTCAGGCAGCCTCATTAACCCCGATTACCAAGGGTGGGTCCTGCTGGGCCTGTAAATGTGGCTAGGACTGTGACCAGCTGTCCACTGCTGGGTGGCGTGGCCTGAGAGCCATTAGAGCACATCGTGTCATCCAGTGAGTGTGAGGGCACTGGGGGCTGCTTCTCCCTTTGTTCTAATGTCTTAGCAGGTAGGGCCTCTATCCCCCTGCCTGCACAGGGCTGGTGGAACTTAGCTGGGTCCGGTCCTGGTGCCTCTTTTCGTTAGGGGCTATGGACGGGGCCTATGGGGAGTCACCCAGGTATGTATGTGATAGGATATGTGAACGGCTCTGCTGTTGACAAGAAGGGCCTAGTTCTCCTGCTGAAGGGAGGAGTCACCATGAGAACCAGGGGCCTGGTTCCGTGACGATAGGCCGCGTGGGGACATGTACTTGGCATTGTTGAGAAAGCCTGGGCTTTTGGGCCTCTCTGCCAGCTTCTCCAATGGGTAAAGTCACGGCTGTTGGGGAATGAGTGACTGCAGGAAAGGAGTCTTCTAGATAACTAGCTTGACAGCTTCCAAACCAGTTAAATGCTTTACCAGATGGCCCACGGGGAGCATGCGGTCCAGGGGGAGGGTGGCCCACCACACCAGCTGGTGGGGGTGCTGGTTGTTGGTGCCCAGGCACTGCTGGGGCTGCCCTGGTGGGGTTCCTTCTGGGGAGATGTGCCCTTTCAGGTTCCTCCCCATTATTACTCTAAATCCAGACTTGCATCATTACTGTTGTCATGGCCCCTGTCCCCCAAGCCCCTGGAGCCCACAGGCCTTGCCCTGTGTTGATAGCAGACACACACGGCCCTTGAGTTAGCCCCAGGCTGGCTCACATGGGGTCTGGGCCTGCAGACCTGGGGGTCCGAGGAGCAAGCCCCTGCCAGTGTGGCATCCCGTGTGTCTGCTCTGGGCTTTGTGCCTGCTGTTCTCTCTGCCAGGAGCAGCCTGCCTTCCTGTCCTTGACGATCAGGTAAGGTAGGTAGAGAGTTCCCGAGGACTGCTTTGCCTTAGCTGTGGTGTTCGTGTGTCTTCTGCTGTTTTCTTCCATCTGCTCTATATCCTGCACTGGAAATGGTTAACAGACTGGAATATCTCCCCTGGGTGTTCAGGAATCTTCTGGGTTCAGGTGATTGCCCAGGAGTCTGCAGAGAAAGACCCTCCGTGAGCCTGAGGGCAGGTCGCAGCTGCCATGGAGGTGTGCTGAGGGTCGGTGGAACTTACCCATTTTAGGTGTAGAGTCTGAGTGTTAACACACCGCCCTAGACCTTGCCTCCTATAGCCACTCCCTGCTCCTGCCCATGGCCCAGGCACTCACTGATCTGCTTTCTGTCTCTTTGGTTTTGCCTTTCCTGGACACGTATGTGAGCAGAGTCACGCGGTGCAGGGTGTCCTGTGTGGAGGCGTGCTTACTTACTAGGCAGTGGCTTTGAGGTTTGTCCATGTGTCCACCCGGAGTTTGTTCCTTTCCTTCGGGGTAGTTTTCTCTTGTTACCCAGTCCGCCGGTTGGTGGATGCTTGGGTTGTGGCTGCCTTTTGGATCCTGCGAGTAATTCTGCTGTGCACATCTGTACCTACGTTTTTGTGTAGACCTATATTTTAATTTCTCTTGGGTGTGTCCCTTTGAGTGGAAATGCGGGGTCATATGGTAACCGTGTTTAACCTTTTTTAGAAACTACCAGACCATTTTCCACAGTGGCTTTGCTGTGTGAGCTCCCACCAGTGTGTTGGGTCTTGTCCTTATTGGTTTAGCCATCCTGATAAGTGCATGGTATCTCCTGCGAAACCTGCATCTTCTCGTGAGCTCATTGGCCACCTGCAGGTTTTCTTTTTGGTCTCTTTCTTTAACCCAATCCCAAGCAAGGCTGGTTTCCAGTCCTGGAGCCGGATGAGGGGCTGGAGGATGTCCCACGTCTGACAGCCTGGCAGTGAGAGGTGACGTGCTTTGGAAGTGTAGGCTGTGTAGGAAGTGTCAGCTGGTTTCTAGGGTGTCAGATAAGTGCTGGTGCTTGGTGTGGTCTCTCAGGACATTTGGAATTCTGCCCCAAGTTCACTGACAAGCTGCTGCAGATGACAAGAGTCCTTGAGATTTGGCAAAAGAGTGAGCTCTTGGTAAACAAAGTATGGGTTGAGGGGGAGCACGTGTGGCTTGTGTGGGCCATGCCTGCCTCATACGACCACAGACCTCAGCCGAGCCCCTAACGGACCCATGCACGTCGAGAGGCCAACCTGCCCGTTGGTTGGTCCTTCCCGTGATTCTAGAGAGCTGCTTCACTCACCCAGGGTCTGTGGTGAGCCTGACAGTCTGGGTGTGGAGCAGACAAGTAGTCACTCCAGACACTGGGGTCTAGGAGTGTGGGGACCAGCTGAGGGGTGCCTCCTCTCACTGCCAGTCAGGCTGGGATGCAGACCCGAGGGCAGACTTGGGTGGAGATGGGAGGCCCAGCCATCTGGAGGAGGCTGCGGAGGACATTGGGCACAGAAGCAAGGAGGGTTTGGGGGCAGAGGGAAGGGGTTCTGATGACAAACGAGGGCCATGCCATGGGGTGATAATGTGTTGTACAGAAGGTGGGTGCTCGGGCCCAAGATGGGTGAGAAAGAGTTAGGTGCGACCCTCCATCTGGATCCACGTTCTTTCTGAAATTCTAACAGAAGGCCGATCTCTGAATAGCTGAAGCTTAAAGTATTTTGAGTTTTTATGTATATTTTTTCTTGTGACATTTGGAAATTCCGCCACCCCAGGCTCAGTGACAAACTGCTCTGAAGCTGTCATGTGGGGGTGAGCAGGCCTTGGGCCCTGTCCTGGGAGCCTTCTGGCCAGTGGTGCTCATCCATCGCGATTCCCGGGGGTGTCTCCGGGGCAGGGCGGTCTGGGCTGATGTTGGTCTGGGGGGGAACAGTGAGGGGCTGCCCATCGCCTGTGTCTCCATTATGACCTCTCATCTACCTGCCCCCGTGCCGTCCAGGAACTCCTACTGAGCCTTCAAAATCCTGCTCCAGAGACCTTTCCTGTAATTTTTAGATGCGTGTGTGTTTTCTCTTGCCTCTTCTGAAAACACTGTCCTTACCTACTCTTTTTTTTTTTTTAAGATTTTTTTATTTCTTTATTTAACAGAGAGAGAGAGAGAGATCACAAGTATGCAGAGGCAGGCAGAGAGAGGAGGGGGAAGCAGGCTCCCTGCTGAGCAGAGAGCCTGATGTGCGCCTTAATCCCAGAACCCTGAGATCCTGCCCTGAGCCGAAGGCAGAGGCTTAACCCACTGAGCCACCCAGGCGCCCTGCCCTACTCTTTCTATAACTGGGAAGTGAGTCTTGGATTTCGAGGTATCTTTATTGACATTTTCCCATTTTGCTTTTTTGCAGGAGTCTGTTTCACTGAGACCATCAATCCGATTTCAAGGAAGTCAAGGGGTGAGTGTTCTTTGTCTTAAGCACATCCGGAATTGTGGCAGTGCGCTCTCTGGCCTGTCTGGCCTGCTGCATGTGGAAGCAGGCTGGGGACAGCATTTTGGTCCCATCTCTGTGTGTCAGGGCAGGTGCTGGGCCGAGCTAAGGTCTGCCAGGTTGGTCCCACCGGGGCCATACCAAGAGGCTCTCTGGGGTGAATGCAGCTTTTCTGTCCAGCAGTCCCTCTGTCTCCCCTTCCTTCCTGTAGCCAATGCATAACTGACTCCCAGACCCCCAGGTCTCTGTTCTGATCTCATCTCTGCGATGATTTAAAACAGGGGTGTCCCAGGGGCCAAGCAGGCCTGGAGCTGTGGCCTCCCCAGGACCTGGTTTGTTGGTACACCTGGGACCATGGGTGTCTGATTTTAGTACTGGGCTACTGATGGGGGAAGGGGGTTGTTATAGAAACTGAGCACTCCATGTTTTCTGAAACGCATTTATTTCATTCTAAATGACCATCTTACAGAAAAATTGGAGAATAAAAGGAAGGATGAGTTGTCCACAATCCTTGCCCCCCAAGGCTTGGACATCCCCCACCCCCGTATCCTTCACCCACCAAACATGCCTTGGAACATTTCAGGTTTTTTTCTGGTCTTTATTGCAATTCTTTTTTTTTTTTTTAAATCTGAAGTGTTGCTGCAAGTGTCTGAGTCAGTTTCCACCTGACAGCTGGCCGGCTGCCTCCTTATGGAGGAGGTCTGTGGGTTTCACCCCCTGCCAGCATGCTCTAGAGAGACAGGGCCTGTAGAAGGGCCTGTAGAAGATCCGTGTGTCTGTGTGCAGATGCAAAGATACCTCAAGATACATTGTAAGGCATTGGCTCCCACAGTTGTGGGGCTGGTGAGGCTCAAGTCCATCTATGGGGCAGGCAGGAATGGACACTGTGGTACACAGGAGAGCTTCTTTGTCCCCAGGGAAACCTCAGTTTCCCTCTTAAGCTCTTCAGCTGATTGGATGAGGCCCACTCAGACCATTGAGGGTCATTTTCTTAAAATCAGCTGGTCGTGGATGTCACCACATCTACAGAATACCTCCATCCAGATTAGTGTTCAAGGTGTCACTTGGGGCTGTGGCCTGGCCAGGTGCATATGTGAACTGAACTGACCATTATGCCAAGAACTGTCAAGGTCAGCAAGACTCCCTGAAAGGCCCCAGACTCCCTGCTCCCGCCGCAGTGCCTCCTCTGGGACATCCACACCTTCGTTGGGCCCCTTTGGGAGTCTTGTGGCAGCTTTCCTTTTGTCTTGCCTGGGACATTTCCCCAAGGGCAGAGGTCAGTGTTGGGGGCAGGACTCCCTGGGCTTGCTGCCAGGCTAGCCTTCATGGCGCCCCCTGGTGGCCAGTGATCCTGCTGTGCTCTCAGCAATCCGGGAAAGAAGAGCAAGTGGATCCATGGAAAGGGCCACTGAGTTCTGTGGCTTATCTAGTGAGCAGCATTTTCTGGTCAGCAAGACACCACACGACCACTCACAAAAGGCACAGAAGCACCACGAGGTCCTCTTGGGCCCTGCCTTGTGTTACCGAAATTTCTGTGCAAAGCCTGAGAACCACATCCATTTAACTTGGAGGCCCTCCACCTCAGATTTAGAATCATGATTTACCTGCTTTTTCTTCTTTTTGGATTTTTCTCATGTGTTACAGAGTTTCTAGAGGGTTCTGAGGGTACAGAGGTCCCGTGCTACAGCTCCAGGGAGGCCAGACTACAATTCTCCGCTAGGAGGTTTTTCCCTGTGCAAGCCTGTGTGAGGGCTGGAGGATGCCAAATGGCGAGGAGGAATGCTCTTCTTTCCCTGCTTGCCGTGAGGTGTCAGGCACTAGGTCTGCCATCTGTTTTCTTAACCTTGTCCTTCTCCTCCTGAGCATTGATGGGATGCGTCCCCTCCTCGCTGCCAGTTGTGACGGGCCTGGAGTGGTGGCTAGGCACATAGCAGGCCATATCCACATAGTCACCTTGCTGCGGGAAGACGCAGGGCATCCGGGCTCTCACCTCCCACTTCTGGTCGCTCAGCCTCTTGTGGATAGCTGGGGTTGGAGATGAACCAGTAAGGTAGGCTGGACAGTGGTCAGTGGGGTGGGGCTGGGCAGGCTCATTCATTTTTCATGGTACATGGGCTGATTCCATGTTTGGCTCCTTGTAGGGTGACGGGGACCCTCTTTCCCAGAGCCCCATGAAGCTGACAGACTGAAGATTGAGACCCCATTTGTGGGCTCCTGAGCTCAGGAAGCTTGGCCAATTCTTTTCACCATGCCTCAGCCTCCTTGCCCAGGAGATGGGCTCAGCCTCTTATGTGTGTCCCCCTCCGTGCACACACCAGCATCAGGCTGTAGCATTGGAGGCCGCCCGGGTTGGGGGTGCCGCTTGGCCTGGCCACTTCCCTGCCTATGCTCGTAAGCACCATGAGCCCAACCTGCCCAGGGAGGTGTGCAGCTGGGCCCTGGTGTTGGCCGCTTCCTTGGAGTGACTAATGGCATTTGCCACGGCGTCCAGAGAGCCTGGCCCACCTGTAGCATGTTGGGCCTCGAGGGTGTCATGTGCCCCGGCAAGATGTTCATCCTTGTTTCATTTGCTGAGTACGTGTTTGTGCTTGCATCCTTGGCCTTGTCTTAGACACTATGCTGGCTGACATGGGCCCCTGTGGTCTCTGGTGGTCACTTCTAAGTCGTTAACCTCTGACAGCTATGAAAAGTCAGCTCCTGAGGGGAAGAGAAACCCCCACCTGGCCAGCCCCACCCTGAAACTCTTCAGTTGATGAAAAAAGAGAAGTAGGGTCGGCATCCAGGGCTGTGAAGGGTCTTGGCATTTCCCTGCACTGCGCCAGGAGCCTCAGCTGCACTTTTTAGAATGAGGTTTGACAGCTCTGGTACGAGGTGTTTGACCAGTTTTTGTGTGAGTGGCCAGGAGCCGTCTCTGTAGGTAAGAACATACACAAGATTGAGCACTAGGTGCCTGCTGCTGCGTCGTTTGTAACAGGGGCAATTTGGAAACGGTCTAAAAACTTTCTAAAATGGGGAGTTTTTGGGGCGCCTGGGTGGCTCAGTGGGTTGAAGCTTCTGCCTTCGGCTCAGGTCATAGTCCTGGGGTGCTGAGATTGAGCCCCGCCTCAGGCTCTCTGCTCAGCAGGGAGCCTGCTTCCTCCTCTCTCTCTGCCTGCCTCTCTGCCTACTTGTGATCTCTGTCTGTTAAATAAATTTTTTAAAAAAATTTATAAAATGGGGGGTTTCCGAGTTGGGGGCCAACCATGTGCCAGGGTTGAACAGAGTGCAGGGGCTGTGTGCTCCCTCTCCTGAGCCTCCTGGATCAGTGAGCGCTTGAGGGCGGCTTTTGGAATGCAGGCAGGTGCTTGCAGTGCATCCTGGGGCTGGGGCTGAGGGAGTACCCCTGGGCGGAAGAGGGCGCTTTGCTCTTGGAAGTCCAGTTCGGCAGTGGTAGTTCTCTTTACCCAGAATACGTTTTATTCTGAAGCTTCCTTGGGAAGTGACAGTAAGTAGGAAAACAAGTGATGTCTACAAACTCCTCTGGCCAGAGAGAGAGAAGCTCCTGGTCCATTGATGTTTGGGTTCCTGTACATGCCTGTTGCCCTTGTTCTTGCCCAGATGGAATATCAGGTGCTTTCCCCCACCAGTTTTTGCCCCCAAGACTTGCTGTGTCTTTTCACAGCCCCCACCTGCACCACAGACGAGGCCCTGCAGACCGGGGCCGGTGGCGGGGCGGGGGTGGTGGGGGACCGCAGAGGCAGGCCCTGCTTGGGACAGATTTCAAAGGCAGGAACCCGTGCCCCCTTGTAGACCTCAGAAGCACTCAGGGCCACAAAGGAAGGATAGACCCGTTTGCTGCTCCAGGTCTGTGTGCACAGATGCTGGATTAGGTTAATAGTGACCTAACCCAGAGTCCAGGCTGTCATCAGACACACCCAAACCTGTGTGCTCAGGCCAACTGAGGGCCACATGGTGCCCTCCGTGGGGGCAGCTGAGACTCGGTCTGGAAGGCACATGGTCCAGCCAAGCAGGGCTGAGTTTCGGGCCACATCCTGGAACATGTGCCAAGCTCTTTGCTGACCCAGAGAAAGCCATGCATTCCTGGGCTGTTCATGCCCCGCTGGCTAATTTCCCTGCCTGGTTCCCAGTGACTGGTAACCAGTAACCATTGTCACTTGGGAGCTGGCAAAGCAGCCTGTTCACCAGGGGATTCCACAGGCCGTGGTAGTGCTGGGAAGGAGCTGGGACTGACAGAACGGGCCACACCAGGCCCCTGGCAAACCTCCCTTCTACTTCCCTCCCTCCCCGACTTGGGTGCTCCCCGCTTTGTCCCGAAGGATACCAGAGACCTCAATGTGCGTCCTCCCCTGTCACGGGCAGCATCACGTTCTCGTCCATCAGTTTCATGCCCTGGGTTCCTTATTGTCCTATGGCTCCAGTAGCTACACAAACCCACTTCTGGGCTCTGTGCTGGGACCCCCGCTTCTAGAATGAATTTTGAAAGTGGGCATACCCACCTGCATGGTAAAGGTTTAGGTGGGGTAAGAGAGTCAGAGTGAAGAGTCCCCCACAGGCCCTACCCAGAGAGAAGCACGGTCACTTTGGGAGTCAGACCTGACCTCCTTCCCTCCTCTTAGGGGTGCAGCCCAGTCACTGTCCTGAGCAGACTGAGGTGGAAAATGCCACCTGGGGAGGCCATGTCTCCACCAGAGCCAGGATGGGATAAGGGAGAGGTTCAAGAGTGAGGTGAAGAAAGCGCCCCCCTGCCCCGCCATGGCAGCAGGTGTCCGGCTCCACTGGAAGCTGCTTTTGATTTGCTGACTTGGTGGCACGTGAGCGTCTTATGGCATTTTGGGCCACTGTGTTGGTGTGCGTCTGGCTCTGTCTGGGTGCATCTCCTGCAGTGACCCTTAGCAGCCTGAACCTTGGCCTCTGGGCAGCGTGTTTCCTGCTACTTCTATAAAGGAAAACAGGAGTCACATCCAAGAAGGGATGAGTGGAAGCGCAGGGTAGCCCCATGTGTTGGAAAGGAGATCCCACGTGCGGGCAGGACAGGGCCCCACTGCCGGGTCTGGGAGCCACTGTGAGCCAGGCTGGCTCTCACTGTGCATATCCGGACCTCTCCTTGGGGCAGGGACTGACTGTATGCGGCGCAGGTCACTCAGTATTTGGGGACCAACTGTAGGCCAGGTGCATATGCAAGTTCCCTATGGGTCCATGCACCACCCTGAGGGGAGAGGCAGGGAGGCCGTGGAGCTGGGCCAGGAGCAGCATCCCTTCTTATGGCCTGAGCCACTGTGTCCTTAGTGTCAGACAGGCTGAACTGCCCTGATTTACCTGTGACAGCGGAGCAGGGGTGGAATTCAGCTGCGCCTTGTTCAGTCCGGGGCTGATGAAGGGTGTTTGCGTGCTCACCTCGTTGGAGAGGAAACAGGGCTTGGACATACCGAGGTGGTTTGGCAGCCTGGGGGTGAGACCGGAATGCAGCCTGCCTATCCCCTTAACCTCCATTTACCACTCGTGCCCCCTTGTGCGTTTGCCAGCTGTGATGAGCTCTAGCACCCAAAACCCAGGGATTACTTTATGAGGGGTGACCACTGGTGACAGGGCTCTAGAGGCCCATCCTGTACCCTGAATACGGGTCAGCAACCAGAACATGGGGTCTTCCTACAAGTCCCTCCGTAGCCCCTAGGACCTCACCGAGGGAGGGTTGGTCTGGAATCCTTCAGTGGCCTCTGGGCACAAGGCTGTCCCACCTGTGCTGAGCCCTGCACCTTGGGTGGAATCATTGCTGTTTGTTTGTCTGCTAGCCAGACTGGCCATCCTTTCTGCAGAGGCACTGCCCAAAGTGAGGTTTACATTAACCAAGACATTCATCCTGTGTCACATCTAACCATGTTCCTGATTTGTTGGGGTGAGTGCTGCCCATCCATGAGCCCCTCAGGGCCTGCCGGGCAGTGACGGACACTCAGGTGGAGGCTGCATCGCACAGGGGAGCAAGGATTGGGGCATCTTGGCTGCTCCGTGTGCCCTGATGGCTCCTGATGCCCATCTTGTCTCATTTCATCTTCACGCACATCCCAGGCCAGACCTGCCCCATATGCTGGGCAGGAAGCTGGGTCATGGCCTAGATCAAGCTGGGAATCCCTGTCTCTTGGTGTATATTAAGCACTCTGCGCTCCTCAGACCGAGATGCCATTGCTGCTTAGAAAGTGCTAGCACATTCTCATTGTGTCAAGTTGTGGGATGGTCTGGGGTCCAGTGGATGGGCCATTCCATGGTTCCCCACCCCCATTACCCTGTGTTGTGAACCTCCCAGTGATGTCTCCCATTCTCTGCACAGCACATCTCCATCCCCCAGCCTGACTGCCCCACAGAGGCACGGACGTTCTCCTTCTACCTCTCCAACATTGGCCGTGACAGCCCCCAGGGCAGCTTCGACTGCATCCAGCAATATGTCTCCAGGTGAGGTCCCACCGGGGCCCAGTGCCCCCTTCTTTTTCTTCTTCTTCTTCTTTTTTTACATAAGTTTATTTATTTAAATAATCTCTATACACAACATGGGCCTTAAACTCAGGACCACGAGATCAAGAGTCGCATGGCTCTACACGCTGAGCCAGCCAGGCTGGCCCGGTGCCTCCTTCCTTTCTCTGCATGAGCCTTGCTGCTTATTTCACCGTGTCCGGGGCGTGGGTACAAGTTCTGGCCTGCTGCTGCCTCTGCCCAGGGGCCTGGGTTCCCTTGTTTCTTCCAGATCGAGATGTGCCATGTGGAAACATGCTGCTCCAGTTAGCCCTGACCCCATTTACCAACTGGGGGTCATGGGGTGGGGGGCGCCACGGGCTCCTAGACCGTCTGTCCTTGTCATCCCAGGAGTTCACCTTGGCTCCTGGCCCCTTATCTTACAGCCACGGGGATGTTCACCTGGACTGCCTGGGCAGCATCCAGGACAAAATCACAGTGTGTGCCACCGACGACTCCTACCAGAAAGCACGGCAGAGCATGGCACAGGCCGAAGAGGAGACACGGAGCCGTGGGGCCATTGTCATCAAGGCTGGAGGCCGCTACCTGGGTGAGGATGAGGCCCGGGACTCCCACCTGTCGGGGGTTCGTGCCTGCTGGGCACCTGTGGCGGGGGGGCGGGGGCGAGCAGGAGAGACTCAGGGCCTGTCCTGGCCAGGAGCTGGAGGTATGGGTTGATGGGTGTGACCCCAAGCAGGGTGAGCCAGGTTGTTGTTGGGTCAAAAAGGAAGGTCCCATTACACTGGATGAGTCAGCTGGGGGCTGTGACATCTGTTCATTGCCCAGTTTGGATAAGAGCCCCAAGAACTCTAGGAATTCCAAATCCATGGGCCCCTCTCCTAGGCTCTGGCCTCAGGGATCTCTACCTGTCAGAGAGATAGTGCTCCTCGAGGGCTGCGGTTTGTTCTCCTCTAGTGGCCACCCCTGCCCTCACCTGCCTGCCCAACTCTTCCCCAAGACTGACACAGCCAGTGGCAAGGTGCACATGGTGAGACGTACCCTGTGGCAAGAGGCCTGCTGCTGGGTTGGGGCCAGTGAGGGGCTGTCGGGTCACACCTGGGAAGGAGATGTTTTGACCCCTGCTGGATGAGAAGGCCCTGGCAGTGCATCATCTGTTTGGAAGCAGTTTTGGTGAAGTTGAGACACCCCCTATGTGGAGAGTGTGTTTACTTAGGAAGCTCTGTGGCTGCGTTAGGCTTCCCAGCACCTAGGCCCAGACAAATTCACAAGTCATCAGGATTCAAGGCCAGGAGGAAGGGTGTTAGGCCTGAGGGAGACACGAAGTGGCTTATAGCAAATGGCTTTGAGGGCTTTTCTTTTTTAAGAAAAGGTAGGAGGATTTCAAAGACCCTCCCCTCCCCAGAGGAGCACGTGATTTCACTGGCTTGGTGGTGGGATTGACTCTGGACAAAACCACAGACGTCCTTGCAGGAGTCCGTGCTGCCAGTGAATGCTGCATCCGGGCAGACGTGGCTGTGCGTGCTGAGGGAGCCTGTGCTCTGGGATGTGAGCCACTGCTGGGGACGGAGCCCACCCCCCACATCCCCAGAGCTGCAGCCAGAGTCCCAGCATGCTTCCCCTGCCTGCTGTCACCTCGATGGGCAAACGTGAACGTGCCTACACATCTTCATAAATTTCTGGTCCTTTAGCCTAAAACTGGGACAGAAATGCGACTTCTTTGGTCACTTAGGTTAAGCAAGAGTTTTGCAGTGGTTTCAGTTCTGGCGGAAGCACTTGTCCCCTGGCCTCTGAAGACAGACATGCATGTCCCACTGTGTCAGGCCTCTCGCTGACCCTAAGCCTGACCCTGAGGATTCTGATAGCACTTCTTCCTGTGTTAATTTGACAAATGAGATTTAAGGGATGAGAACAAAAACAACAAAAAGAAGTCCTCACGGAGAGCCTTCTGGCCCAAGTTCATGAGGCATGCACTGCCTGCCCTTGGCCGTGCATGTTCCTCAGGGGCGGTGCTGCTGTCCAGAGTGGAGTTCACAGTTTCCAAGCGGAGGCCCCTCCATCCAGAGCAGAGCTGGAGTCTGTTTGCTCTGGAAGGGTGGGGGGATCTGGCTGCTGCCCCTGGGACTCTGAGCACAGCCATGTCTGCCCAAGAAGTGCTTGATGGGGCTGCAGCCAGGGAGCTGCTCTTAGCCCTGGCATCTCCAAAGAAGCTACCCTAGCGGCCCGATGCCTTTGTTCAGTCCTCCTTTTTCATAAAAGTGAATGGGGGATCCTGTAGGGCCAGCACAGTGCTGTGATGTGTAGGCTCTGGGGGCACCTGCCTCTGACCATTCAGGAACCCCACTCTTTTTACTATCGGCCCCCTCTCCCTGTAGTGGTTGGGCTGCCGGTGATGAAGTCCATTCTGTCTCCTGTAGCTCCAGCTTCTAATGCCGGGGGCCCTGCAAACCCCTGCTGAGCTATGTGCGGTCAGCAGATGGTGCTCTTAGCTGTCCTGGGTCTCCACTGAGCCGCCCAGGCAGGGCCCGGCTCAGACTGCCTTCCCCTGGGGCTGGCGGCCATCGGTGGGCATCCTTGCACTCGTTCCGAACTTGGCATCCGCCCCAGGCAGAGGGACACTGAGGGACACCCCTTCACCCCCTCACATCCCTAATGCCTTGGCTCTTGTTGCAGGCAAGAAGGTTCAGTTTCGGAAACCAGCCCCGGGGGCCACGGACGCTGTCCCTTCCCGGAAGCGGGCGACCCCCATCAACCTGGCCAGTGCCATCAAGAAGAGCAATGTTGGTGGCATTAGCGGGGGCAGTGGGGTGTCTCAGAGGCCTTTCCGCGACCGGGTGCTGCACCTCCTGGCGCTGAGGCCCTACCGGAAGGCCGAGCTGTTGCTGCGGCTGCAGAAGGACGGCCTGGCCCAGGCGGACAAGGATGCGCTGGATGGCCTCCTCCAGCAGGTTCGTGCTTGCCCGGGGCCAGGTTGAGGGTCCAGTCAGCCTTGAGTGGCTCCTGCACCGGGTCTGGACACAGGGCGGCTTGGGAAGGGCCCTTCCTGGGGTCTCTTCCAGGAGTCTCAGCCTGCCTCAGAGCCTCGGCCTTCTCGGTTAGGACGTGCTTAGGGCTGTCATGGACATGTCCCTGGTCGTGGTGCTTGCTCTCCAGTGGCCCTGAGGTTTGAGGTCAGCACCCTAGTCTGCACCGTCTGCAAACACACAGGCAGCAGGCACAGCACACAGAATCCTGGACATCAGTTGCCCGGTGATTGTAGAATCCAGAGAAGCCTGGGTAACCGCAGAGCTCAGCCTCCTCAGTCAGGCAGCTTCCCTGCCACTCGCCAGCCGCAGCCCTAGGCAAGGGGCTTCACTAGTGCACCCTCGGGCTGCTGTGTGCAGCCACAGCTTGACTGCAGCACCTCGTGCGGGGTGAGAGGCTGAGCTGGGGGGAATGTGATGTCAGCACATGGAGCCTGCTATTATGGAAGAGCTCAGGCCTCGGAGCAAGAGCTGTAGGCCTGGCCGCTTCCCCTACGCCCTTCCCTGTCTCCCAGAGCCTGTGGAGGGAGCTGGAGGACCCCCGGGAAGATGAATAGCTTGTTCTGGCCTTGCCACGTCAGCTGGACCATGCAGCTGCCTCGGGACCCTGCCGAGAGATTCACTTGGCTGGCAGTGGACAGTCCTGTCCTGTGGAGGAGGCATGGTTGAACCTCGAGGGGTTCTGTCCTCCAGCTCACTTGCCCCCCTTACATCCTGCCTCAGATGCTCTGGGCGCACAGACAGCGCAAAACTCACATGCTATGATAATGAGTAGTTGTGTCTGAAGATGAGCTATGGGGCTCGCTGCCCCTCATGTCACTGGGACTCTGGCCTCAGGGGCGCCACTTGCCAGGAAACTCTGGATATGGCCTCTTTTGTTTTAAGGATGCATGTGTGAAGGCAGGAGGGCGGTGGGCAGAGGGAGAGAGAATTCTAAGCAGGCTCCATGTCCAGCACGGAGCCCAACACGGGGCTCGATCTCACGACCCTGAGATCATGATGAAATCAGGAGTCAGCTGCCTGACCAACTGAGCCACCCAGGTGCCCCTGGATTTGGCCTGTTGAGCCACTCTCCCCCGCCCGGAGGTAGCGCAGGTGAGGACCAAGCTGCGCAGTTCTCCCTCTGAGCATACGAGTTGGCCCAAGGCCTGTTTAGAAGATAGACGTGTAGCTTCACGGCTCAGAACTTTTCTTTGGCAGAGGGGCCTTATCAAAGCATCCAGAAAGCTCCAGAATCAGGAATGATCTTCTGAGGGGATTGGTTTCCTTGGAAAGTCACAGGTGTCAGCCTTATCCTTGAGAACTCAAAGGAGGCACAGTGGAGGCCCTTCCCCTGGGCTGGAACTCGGAGAGAATGAGGCAGGGCTGGCAAAATGCCAGGTCTTTAGACGTGAGCCAGCATTGTCCCTGGGTGTGCTACAGCCCACACTGCTGGCCGGTCAGGCTGCCGTCAGCCCCTACTGTGGCATTCTTGGAAGTGGCCCTTGCTCCCATCTTCCTCTCTCGCCCTGTTTGTGCCCAGAATAAAGAAGAAGCACATGAGCCCCTCAAATGCAGAATGTGGAACTTGGCTGACCAAGCACACAGTTAATATCTGAGATTTACCCTCTGAGCAACCCTCGAGTGCAGCCAGCAGGCCAGGCTCGGTTTTTGAAGAGCTGGGGATCTTTTGGTACTGATGTCATTCTGCCCGGGGTGCCTGCTTTTCTAACCTCTGAGATGCTGCCGTTGCTCCCAGCCCTTGCTAGGGATCAGAGAGGCCCCGTGCTGGTCTCCGGCTTCTCTGGTTGATTCGGATTCAGCAGCCTTCTGTGGGGCAGCTTATCTGGTGTCTGGGGGCAGAACATCCCCCCTTGTCTACTCTGTTTTCTTCTGAATGGCCCCGTCTGCTTTGTGCTTCTCTATTTACTACCCAGCATGTCCTCCCTGGGGGCTGGGTGCAGTAGCAGGACCCCAGCAGCTTGAGGAAGTGGAAGGTCTCGGAGGATGCCGTGGGCTGGTCATTTCCAGCCTCCCCCACAGGCCCCCCGCGAGGGATCAGGGATTCTGATGAGCAGCACAGATGAAATCACACTCTTCAAAGGCACCTTCTCTCTTCCGTCTGTGAAAACATCTGTCTCTGGTGCTGGCGGGGCCTCAGAGAAGCCCGGAGGCTCATCCTCTGTGGGAGGGAGTGTGGACGGGTGGGTGGCTCTTCTGGGGAGCATTTTAGCAAACTGCTTCAAGAGCTGTAAAAATGTTCAGAGCCTTTGACCCACTCAACCCACTTCTGGGAAGCTGGCCGAAGGAAACCGTCACCAGCGTGGGAGAACCTGCACACAGTGGTGCCTGTTTAAGCTACAGAGAACCTGGAGATGGCATCCAGTGCAGATGCGTGGGCGAATATTACTCAGCCTATAATAATAAATAAATAATAATATAAATATATATAATTATATATATTACATATTATACATATAATATATATATAATAATACAAATATAAATAAATAATAAATTAAAAATGCTCCCTGTGGAAACCCTTGTGACCTGGAGTCCCCTTAGAAGCCTGTGGTAGTGAAAACGGCTGCTGTCACACCAGCTCCCCCGCAGGTGCGTGCCGTGGGCCCAGTGAGGCTGGCACAGGGGCTCCCACTTGGGAGCGGGGCCTGAACTTCTTCAAGTGCCCTTAAGGCCGACGTTCTGAGTCCAACTTTGCCATCTTGGAGACAAGCTCGGCCGTAGTTAATCAGCCTGAGCAGGGCTAGCTGGCTGAGGGGAAGATGGACTTAGCCTGGTCCCTGGGGGCCCCGGCTCCCCCACCTGCCGCCGTCTCTGCCACGGGAGTCCATGTCCAAGAGGGGGTGTCCGTCTCTTCAGACTGCTCTACTGGAATAACATAAACTGGGAGGCTTATGAACAACAGATGTTTACTCCTTGCGGTTCTGGAGGCTGGGAAGTCTTAAGGTCAAGGCACCATAAGATTGGGTGATTGCTGAAGACCCGCTTCCCGGTTCACAGACTGTCTTCTCATGGTGTTACCACATGGCAGGGGTGGGGAGGGAGCTTCTGGAGTCTCTTTTATAGGGACACTGGTCCCATTCATGAGGGCTCCACCCTGATGACCTGATCACCTCCCAGAGGCCCCACCTCCTAATACCTCATTTTGGGTGCTGAGATTTAACATGAATTTTGGTAAGATGAAAACCTCCAGTCCATAACAGGGGAGGCCGGTGCTGGGGTTCTGGGAGTGTAGACGGCAGCCCCTCCTGCTTTGGAGCCGACGTGTCTTCCACCAGCTATAAGACCTGGGTGTCAGGACCTGGTGTTCGGATCCTTTTGCAACCCAAGGCTTGTTGCCCCGGTGTGCAGGGGATTGGGGGAGTGCTGTCCTCTTTCCCCTTGTGTGTCTCTGCCCCCCCAGCCTCCATCACCTACTTTCAGTAACTTCTGCCTCTCCTAGGCTTCCGGCAAGGTGATCCTGTCTCTGTCTTACAGGTGGCCAACGTGAATGCCAAGGATGGTACGTGCACGTTGAAGGACTGTGTATATAAGGACGTGCAGAAGGACTGGCCTGGCTACTCGGAAGGGGACCAGCAGCTGTTGAAGCGGCTGCTTGTCCGGTAATGCCGCCTCCCGTGCCTGGGCATGTCCCCGCACCCTGGTTCTGGGACAGATGGCATCCTGAAGGTGCTAGGGTGGCCTTGTGTGGTCCCAAAGGTCATAGGGCCCTTGAGCAGGATGGAGGGATCTGTGGAGACTCTCTGGCAGTCTTTCCCACTACCTGGGACACGTCAGGGCCGGGCCAGCACGTGCTGAGTGGCGTGAAGGGTGCAGGTCGCGCGCCAGAGCCCCAGAGCGCCACACAGGATGCTTCGGTCCACTCTGCCTGTTCATGCTTCCTTTCCCGTCAGGTGCCCTTCCAAAACCTGCGCAGTCCCACAGGCTTGAGCTACAGGCCGCCTCCTTCTTTAAAAGAAGCTCCCAAGAACTTGAAGCAGAGAGAAACAAAGCAAAACAAAACTCCCCACAGGCGTGATTAAGTAGCATTAATTAAACACATTCCCTTTCAGATTAATTGGGACCCGAGGTCAGGAGTGGACTTGGTGGCTCGGGGGAGGAGTGGTTAAGTAGGCCCCTGCCTGGCTCAGGCGAGCGGTTAATGATTTCCTTCTCGGCCGATGCCTGACGGGAGCGCAGGCTGCGAAGCGCCGCTCGGAACTGGCTGATACACTAATTAGTCTTTAAATGATTTCTCAGGGACTTGAGTTATTTATGTGGTTGTGGTTTTTTTTTTTTTTTAAGCTCAGCTGTTTAAAGCAGTAATTGCATGTAGATTTGGGGCAACTCTAGGTGAACCCGGAGTTCCTCCTCAGCCCTGCAGGGCACTCCTCCCCAAACCAGTACCTGCTTCTGAACCAGCCTGGGGTCACCGCTCCGGCTGTCTAAAGGTCATGGGGGGCTTGAGGAGCTGTTCTCAGCAGAAGACCGCTCCCACCCCCATCCTCTTTCTGGCGTTTCCTGTTGGAGCAGCTAAACGCACCTGGGGTTGGTTCTGTCACCTACAGGTGTTTTGATCCATCAGACATTTTTGGACAAAGAGTCTGGTGTTGAATTGGTCAAATTTACCCACCAAAATGCTTTGAGGTGACAAGGCACGCATTAGGGACACTGCAAGGCTATTCCTGCCCTCCCTTCAGAGTCTCTTGCTGGGTAGCTGCTGTTCTCAGAACCCAAGGGCCTTGGCCACACAGAGTGCTCCAGAAGGAGCGTGGCCGAGACCAAGTAGCCTTGTTGTGTGTTGGTGTGTAGGTGGGTCAGTAGGCATCTCAGCTCTGGAGCTTTGTGTCATTCCGGGCTCCTCCTCCCTGTTCCTCCCTGCTCCGATGAGTGAGCTGCGGGGCCTTGTGTGAACCCAGGGCTCTCAGCCTTCACCTGGATCAGCAAGGCCAGCGCCGGGGCCCTGCTTGGGGATCAGCCGCGCCAGAAACCACTTGTTGCCAGCAGCACCCACTGTCCTTGGAAGCTTGGTCCAGTTGGTGTGCGAAGGTCACCGTCGGCATCCTCGATGCCAGCAACCGCACTGAAGGTCACCCAGCCGCCCGTCTGCGCACTTTTTTCCCTTCAGTTTAGGTTGTTCCCTCCCTGAAGAAAACCCAATTTGTAGTGGTTCTTCAAGTCTCACAGCAAGAAGGAAAAATAAGGCCTTGGGGTATTTCTGTCGCTGAGGATTGGTATCACCCAGAAGCTGGGCTGCCTCCTTTTCCTACAGCTTCTTCAAAATCATACCTGACCTAAGTATGCTGATGCTTCCAGGGTCAGCCTGGGCCCCTGAGGCTCGGCTCTGCATGGACACCTGCTGCCACCATCATTTTGATTCTTCCTCTGTGTGTTTCCTGTGTGAGGGGCTGCTGGGGCCCGTCCTGTCCCGGGTGTTCCAGGGCACTGCGAGGCCTCAGCAGCCGTGCCCAGCCCTGTAGTCACTCCCCTTGTGTCTTGTCTTTCATGTTAAGGCCATACTCTGTTGACTATTACGGCTTTAGAGTAGGTCTTGAAATCTGGGATTGTGAGACCTCCAGCCTTGTTCTTCTTTCTCACAATTCAGTGGTGTGAATTACATTTGCAGTGTGGTACAGCTGCTACCTGTACTCGTTCCAGAACACGTGCCCCAAAATGGAATCCCAAGTGTCAGCAGATACTCCCCTGCCCCCTCCCCCCAGCCCCTAGCAACCATGAATCTTTCAGTCTCTGTGGATTTGCCTGTTCTGGATGTTTCCTATCAATGGGATCTTTGGGACTTTGGAATCTTTGGCCTTTTGTGACTGCCTTCTATCTGTGTATGGTTAGGGTTCACATAGGCCATAACATGTATCAGAGCTTCGTTCCTTTACGTGTGCTGCGTGGGTATCTGGTGCGCGTGGAGATCCGCCACAGTTGTCTCGTCTGCTGATGACCCCTGGGGCCATCTCCGCCTCCCGGCATTGTGGCTGGGGTCCTATGAACATTTGTGTTCGAGGATATGTATGGACATGGATTCTCCTATCTCTCAAGGAGGAGTGGAGTTGAGGTTTTTGCGAAACAGCCAGACTCTTTTCCACAGCAGCTCCCGCTCCAGTGACACACACAGAGGTTTCTAGTTTCCCCCACTTTCTCACCAACACTTGTTCTTTTCCGTCCTTGTTTTGTTTTATTCCAGCCCTCCTAGTGGGTGTGAGGTAATATCTCCTTGTGGTTCTGACTTGCATTTTCCTGATGACCAATCACGCGTACTTGTTCGTGTGCTTATTGGCCATTTGTGTATCATCTTTGGAGAAATTCTATTCAAGTACTTTGTCTTTTTGGGGATATTGAGGGTGGTGTTCCTATTGTGGATTTAAAGTTTTCATTTGCTTAGAGAGTCTCTCTTTGCTTTCAGATGCTTTCTCTTGTCTCTTTTGGACTCTGACATTTGTTACCTGGAGGCCTCGGTGCAGCCCTTCAAGGCTTTTCTGAGTGGCTCCGTCCCCTTAGGAGGGCTGCCAAGGTTTCTCCGCACCCCCCATGGGCCCCTCTGTTTCCTCAGTCTCCTGAGGCCACACTTCTGTCCATCCCGTGGTCCAGGTGTGGCTGGAGCAGCCTGGCCGCCTAGGACACACTGTGGGTTCCTTCCCCACAGCCCCAGAGCAGAGCGGGGACAGCCCTGCAGGAGCCCCTTCTGTGAGGTCTCTGAGCCTCTGAGCTCTGGGCCGGGGGGTGCTATGGCCTGGGTCCCCATTTCCTTGGATCCTGTAAGATAGTCACTGTGTCTGCTTTCAGCATTAGATCGTGCTGCTCTTTTTTTTTTTTTTTTTAAAGATTTTATGCATTTATTTGACAGAGATCACAAGTAGGCAGAGAAGCAGGCAGAGAGAGAGGAGGAAGCAGGCTCCCCGCTGAGCAGAGAGCCCGGATTCGCAGGACCCTGGGATCATGACCTGAGCCGAAGGCAGAGGCTTTAACCCACTGAGCCACCCAGGCGCTCCTCGTGCTGCTCTCTTTTCCCTTCCTCCTTCATGCATTTTCAGTGGGGGCTGGAAAGAGAGCGGATGGAAAGGGCTGCGCTTGCTTCTGTGTGGCTGGACAGCAGATGTGAGCCACCTCGGCCGTGGCCAGTGCTTGCACGCTACAGGCACTTGCCCTGGGGCTGTCCTTACATTTGGGGCCACCACGGAGGGGACAGCAGCAGAGATCTGTCACGTGGCCATCGGTCAAGGAGGTCTACTCGGCTTGTCACTACTCGGCAGTGCAAACAGGGTCCCCGTAGCCCCAGACCGCAGCTGGGCATGGAGGGCCTGCGGTCCCACACACTGCACCGAGCTGGCTGCTGGGCTCCCGTGAGACTCGCAGCCTCGGAATATGAGAGGGAATCAGAGGGTGGCCTCAAGCCAGGGTCCCTAGTGGGGCCTTCATCTGCCCTTTGAGTGTCACGGTGTCTCTTTTCTCGTCCCTGGCTGTACTGTTGTGCTTGGGTACCGGTAGGCCGGTGACTGCCCCTGTCATCCTTGAGGAGATACTGTCATGTTGGCTCCCAGGAAGGTGGGACCTGAATCCGGGAGTCCTTCCTGTCAGGCTAGGGCATCTCAGTCCCCTGCAGCATCTTCTAAGGTTTCTGCAGTAAGCATTATTAGGATGAATGATTGCTTTTAAAAGGAGGGGCCGGTGCTCGAGTGTGCCCAGCTCCCGCAGGGACATAGCGCAGAGGTTGAATATCCAGTCAGTTTTACTCGGGTCTCTGGTCTCCACAGTGACGGGTGTCTGGGTGAGCGGGCGGCCCACTGAGCCTTCTCTGGGCACACAGGACTCCGGGTGGGCCATCCGGGCTGTGGGTGAGCCTGGGTTCGGGGGGGATGTTTTTGGGATGCTCTCTGCCCGCCATGCCCTGAGGTACCCCATGTACTCGGCCCTGCTCTCGTTCATTGGGACAGCGGGCCCACCCTGAATCACTGGTGTAGGGGACACAGTGTGGCATCAGCGGGAAGGCAGGTTGTGGGGCCATACAGCTACCCCGCCTCTCCTCTGTAGGAAGCTGTGTCAGCCGCAGAGTGCCGTTGTCCTGCCCGGAGACCCCGCTGCCGCCAGTCCTCCCAGGGAACATGGAAACTCAGCCTCACCCCCTCAGGTAGGAGCAGCGGGCCAGGCTGGGACAAGGCGCGGTGGCAGCGAGGGAGGAGGGTGGGCGAGGGGCCCATGGGCCAGGCCTGAGCTGCGTTAGGGCTTGCTTCAGAGGCAGGTGTTTTCTTCAGTGAATGAGCAACTGCCCAGCCTTCCCCAGACTGGGCCCGGGCCCTCCGTGCAGTTCCCTCAAATGTTCGTGGGTGTTGTGGCCAAGGGAGGGCAGGCTCCCGGATTGCCCTGAGCCCAGTGCTCTGTGTACAGCAGGCATGGCAGGTGCACTGGCCTCCCAGGGCTGTCATGAAGGTTCTGTAGAATCGAGTGGGCCGGCTGCAGGCGCAGGGCCTTGTGAGCCGTGACCACTGCTGGTTCAGTCAGTAGTCAGGATGGGTGCTCAGATGTCCCCACCTGTGCGCTCTGGCTCGTGAGTCCCTCACCCTAAGTCCCTTATTTTCCCCCTTCGGCCTGGAAGCTCCTAGCGCATGTCCAAGGCCCTGAATCCTCCTTGTGGAGAGGTCAGGTCTGTGCCTGCCCTGGCCCTGGGCCAAAGTAGAGGGCTGACAGCCTCCTTACCCTGTTCCCCCCGATGGTGGGCCTGCCACCTTGCTCTCTCTAGTCATTTCCCAGGGTCGGGGCAATCCATGGTCTGGCCTCGTCTCACATGCCTCAGCGTTCTCACTTGTGGAGTAAGGCTGCGCCTGCACCATGTCACAGGGTGTCCCTTGGGGATGCAAGTAGTCCTGGGTCTGGTGGGGAGGTGGGGGGAGTCCCAGCCTGAGGGGCTGCTGTGTGTCCTTCACACTTGGTCCTTTCACCATCCCCATCATCCAGGGATGACACCGAACACTGCCAAGTTTCAGAGCGGTCTGTGGAGATGGCCCTTCTTGACTGCTCAGCTGGCTAGATCCATGGATGCTGCCCTTCCTTGGCTCTGTCCTCAGGGTGAGCTGAGCCTAGGTTAGCAAGAGGCTGGTTCTTTTCTGGGTGTGCCCCCTTGTGGCCAGAGTGGGCCTTGCAGTTAGGCCCCAGGTTTCCTAGGGCCTCCTAAGCTCAGGGCCTTTTGCTCCCCAGCTACTCCTCAGGAGACATCAGTGGCTCCAGACGCAGTCTCCCTTTTAAATTTGTTTCCCTCCCATTGCAGAAACGATCACAGCCTCCTGATTTCACCGACTCCCTGGTCAGCAAGAAAACCAGGATATCACATTTTACCCAGAGAGCTCAGCCTGCCATCAATGGGAAGCTGAGTGCACCCCACGGCCGTGAGGCCCTGCTGCCCACTCCAGGCCCACTAGCTGGCTCAGACGCCCACCTGCCCCCACGGTTGGAGCCCCCGAGGGCCCATGACCCTCTAGCTGACGTCAGCAATGACCTGGGTCACAGTGGCCGGGACTGTGAGCACGGGGAAGTGGCCGCGCCGGCCCCGACTACGTGCCTCAGCTTGCCCCTGCTGACGGACTGTGCCCAGCCCAGCAGGCCCCATGGTGGCTCATCACGCAGCAAATCCAAGAAGAAGTCCAAGAAGCACAAAGACAAGGAGAGAGCAGCTGAGGATAGACACCGGGCCCGGTTGCCAGACCACATGTCCAGCCCCCTAGGAGCCCCACCAGATGCCCCGGGTATGTACCAGGAGGCAGGCCTGGGGTGGGGGACCCTGTAGGAGGACAGTGCCAGGAGCCTGAGCTCCAGCCTACCGCCACCATTGCCCAGAGAGGGACTCTGCCACCGCAAGAGCCCCACAGTGGCGTACTCTGTACGTTCAGCTTCTCCGTGCCCTGGGTTTGGTTGGTTGTTTTTTAGGATTTTATTTATTTATCTGAAAAAAAAAGTGAGTGAGAAAGAGAGCATGAGCGGGGTTGGGGCGGTTAGAGAAGCAGACTCCCCGCTGAACAGGGAGCCCAATGTGGAGCTTGACCCCAGGACCCCGACAGCATGACCTGGGCCGAAGACAGACACTTAACCAACTGAGCCACCCAGGCGCCCCTGTGCCCAGTGGCTTTTTTTTTTTTTTTTTTTAAGATTTTTTGTTTATTCACTAAAGAGAGAGGCAGAGAGAGCCCAAGCAGGAGGAGAGGCAGAGAGAGAGGAAGAAGCAGATACCCTGTTGAGCTTGGAGCCCGACGTGGGGCATGATCTGCAAAACTGGAGATCATGACCTGAGCTAAAGGCAGACGCTTAACCATCTGAGCCACCTGGGCGCCCCTGCACCCTGTGTTCTTATACAAGGTTGTCTGTGAAGGGCCCAGCGGTCTCAGCCTTGCTGTGTGTCAGGCCAGTGCTGGTAGCACAGAGCCTCTGACCTGGGGCCCGTGGGAGGGGACAGTCCACCCAGAGAGGAACTAGTTCCGGGCTCAGCTCTGGATGCTGGGAGGTCCCAGACACTGAAAGGGAGCAGGGTGGGGCTGGGGTTCAAGGAAGGCAGTAGGGTGCAGGGCCTGGCTGGAGAGGGGCAGCACCTGGACTGCCACAGGCCTCATGTAGCCTGCTGACTGGCGAACATTCAGCACGTGGAGACTGGGCTTGGGAAGCTGTCCATAGAACAGCAGGCAGTAAGAGTCAGAAGGAGGTCACAGAGTGGGAAGTCGAGAGATTTGGGATCGCAGCAGCAGGATGAGAGGGGTGTGGGGCCAGCTGGGGCTGTGTGCTGAGCCAGAGAACCTTTGTGGGGCCAGAGACACTGTGGAGGTGTATGGACAGGCCGGACTTGGGGTGGGAGTAGGGATCTTCACCCTCAGAGCCTGGGCTACCTTGAGTTCATAGCCCAGGGGTCCCGAGCAGAACACCCCATGTTGCTATTAACCTAATGGGCATGGCGTGTCCAGAGAGCTGTGCCTGCGTACACTCCCGGTTGTGAAACTTGCTGCTGCTTTCAGATCAGTTCCACCCCCCTCCCCAAGGATCCACCCCGGGGCTGGGGGGGGGCATTCCTGGGGCAAGAGCAGAGCTGCTTTCTCCTGAAGGCTTTTTAATGAGTAGTTCACCTGCTCTCCAGAAAGGCCTTTGCCAGCCCCTCCCTCTGGCTGGAGGGCAGGTGTTGGCAGCAGCGGGGTGGGGAGGCAAGGCCTGGCTCCCTGGAGGTGGTCCGGTCTGGAGAGACAAACCCTGAGCAGGCCCAGCCAGGCAGCAGGTCCTGTGCTAAATGGTGAAAGCAAAGCCCCGTGTTCCCCCAGCAGGGCCTGGGGAGGGAGGAGGACATGTGGCGCTCAGCCAGCTTCAGATCCTGTCCAGGGCACATGGGCCTGGGCAGCTTGTCCCCAGGTTAAGGTGGGAAAGTGAGATTTGGAATCAGGCACACCAGGGAGTAGGGGGCCCAAGGAAGAGATAAGGACATAAGGACAAGGTACTAAAAGCAATGCTTTGTCCATCTGAATCTCCATCTCCCAGGCGCCTCAAATGTAACAGGAATGGCCGAGCACAGAGGCCTACCACCCTGTTCCCGGATGCCTTCTGGGACAGTGTGCTCTGCTGGTGGGGGCAGACACACACGCTGGAACCACCCACCTCCCTTTAACAATGTTCTTTGTGCAACATGGTTCTTTGTGCACCATGCCCCTCCCTCAGATGCACTGGAGAAGGTTCCAGGGCAGCACGTGAGGAAGCTTCCTTGCATTTGTGTCTCATGTGGGAGGGACAGCTTCGGTTGAACCCACTCCTCAGTGGGTCACCGTCTGGGCCCCGCGCCACACTCACCTCTGCCCCAGGCAGACGCAGCAGCCCACACCTGTCCGGCGGATGGCTCTCCTTAGCCACCCCTGTGCAGATGCCAACCTGGACCTGTAGCCCCAGCTTGTGTCCCTCAGGGCTACCTGTCCCCCTGTGCTACTGGTCAAGCTGGGTCCTCTGTCCATTCTTATGCCTGTTCCCCGCTCTTGCTCGGTCCGTGGCCCCCTCCTGCTTCCTCCGCGTGCCTTCCTGGGCAGGCTGGTGTGCTGGGTGGGGAGCCTTCTCCTAGTGGGACCCAGCCCCGGGGAGGCACAGGAGAAGCTGGTAGAAGGGGCAGGAGGCAGCTGCGGGGAGGTTTCCCTTTAGGCCCCAGCCCTGCCGTGGGAACCAGCTCAGCGGGTTTGGTGGGGGCTGAGCCCTGAGGTTTGCCTCAGGCCAGAGCTCGAAGGTGTCTTAAGTGCCAGAAGAATATGACCCTGAGCCTTGGTTTCTCCGTTTGTTCTCTCACCTGGTAAAGATTTCAGAAGGGCTAAATGAGGCTGTGTTGACTGGGCCCACAAATGGCAGAACACTCTGGAAGGCATAACTCACAAAGTATGTGTGGCAGAAGTAGGGCCTAAGCTCTCACATGTGTGTTCATTGGGCTAAAGCCCCGAGAGGTGGGAAACATGCTCTCCTTCCATTAGTGGGAGTCGCGGGGCACAGGGATTCCCGGGGGGTCCACTGTCCTCTCTAGGGACACATGCTGTGTACTGACGACATGTGCCACAGTGACAGAATCTCTTCTACGCTGGGAAGAAAGGCCATTGGAAGGAAGCCCCTGGGAAAGAGGCTACATTGTAGTTCTGGTCAGCTGTGCCCCCAAGCGGCGTGAACAGTCCCATGTCCTGCAGTCCCACCTCGTGGGTGGCCTGGGGGGCAGGCTGGAGCCGGGGCTCTCCCATGCAGCCCTCTGTCTCTGTCCCACCAGGCCAGAGGTGGGCAGGTGGGTTGCTTATCTCCAGAGTAATGGCCTTTTCCACGAAGTTCGCAGAGACAGTGGGGTTGCTGGCTAGCTCAGGCTCTGGCCCTGCAATGAACTTGTACTTGCTTGCAACTCCTTGCTGAAAACCTGCACATGGCACCGTCATGCTCTCTGTACATCCCACGACTGGTTGGGGGACATACGCTATGCTTGGCTGTGGTGCTGCTGGGTCCCATGAGGCCCCCTAGGTGGCCCCTGACCGGCCCTCTCCCTGCCTCTGCCCATCCGATTCCCATTCTGCTGCCCCTCTGTGTCCTTCAGACAACAGACCTTTTGATCTTTCTTTGTAGGTTTGAACGGGACCTGCAGCAGCTCAAGTGTCCCCACATCGACCTCAGAGACGCCCGACTACTTGCTGTGAGCACTTCCCTCGCTGGCCTAGCGCCCTCTCCCCACCCTGCCCTCTGCCCTGCACTGCAGCTGGGCCTCTGGAGGACTTCCCCGGGGGTGGGGGTCTTCCTGGGCCACACAGCCTGTTCCAGGCCCAGGCTCCTCCTGGAGCCAGGAGGTCGCCCGTGACGTCGGCGCCCGGTGGGGCCAGCCGTGCAGCCAGGGGCACTCCAGCCTCTCCCCCGCAGCCCCCTGAGCCCTGCTGGCCCCTCTTTTCCGTCTCCTCAGAAAATACGCTACCATTTCCTCCTCGGAGCAGCGCCAGAGCTACAAGAACGACTTCAACGCGGAATACAGCGAGTACCGCGACCTGCACGCACGCATCGAGCAGATCACGCGGCGCTTCACGCAGCTGGACGCCCAGCTCCGGCAGCTGTCCCAGGGCTCCGAGGAGTATGAGGTAGCGCCCCAGCCACGGCCCCCTGCCCCACCGGTTCCCTGCTCCCCACCCCTGGTGGGGCGTGCTAGTCCCTGCGCTCTGCACCCCGCCTGGGTAGGGCGGCAGGTTTCTCGTGGGTGCAGCCAAAGCCAAGACTTCCAACCCTGCCCGTGGCCCCTGAGCCTGGCCACTACCTCTCCCAGGTGAGGAGGGCCGCCGCACTCAGCCCGTGTTTCTCCCTGTCGCAGCCTGGTAGGTGGCTGTCCCTAGCTGCTGGTGCGCTTGGTCTGTCCCCCAGGGCTCTGCCACGGGAGTCCACGGGCTCTGGGGCCCGGCTCCACTTCCTGTGCAGTGGGGACACTGGAGACCGGCTCCACAGGCAGGAGATGGCCCCCAACCTGGGGAGTCTTGTTCAGAGCCCCTGAAACAGCCAGGACCTGTAGGGTTGGGTCCTCTGTGCAGCTCACAGCCCATCTGTGCTGTCAGAGCCACAGGGCTGGGGCTGGAGAGTCTCTGTGGCTCCTCCCCGTCTGCTCAAGCTGATCCATATTGCGAGCTCCCTGCTGGGAGGAGTGGGGGGGGGCAGCGCCGTTGTTTCACCAGCCTCCCCTCATGCCACCTTTCAGAGTTAGTCTGATTAATTGGGGTGTTGGGGTCGTGGGCACCTCTTTGGTTTCCAGAGGAAACAGCTCATAGTTGGAGGAGTGATGAGGGTTCTGAGGGTCTGGGACAGAGGAGTCCTGGGGTCTTGCTCTTCTCCCTCCTGTAGCCCCCACATGGATATTCCTCAATATCCCCCCGTACCCCCAGGTGGTGGTGGGGCTCTGCTCTTGGCCTGGAACAGTAGGCAGGCCAGCTGGGTGTGAGGGAAGGCGGCCTCCCAGCCTGCTCTTAGCCTCCTCCCTCCCACTGCGTAGGCCATTGTGTTTGTCCCTGAGGCTGGGCCCCTGCCCCTCACTCCCCTGGCCCGTCATCCTCCCCCACCTCCTGCCCTGCTCATCCTCCCCTCCCGCCCCACCCCCAACCCTAGCCTGGCTCTCTTTACTTTGTCAGCTTCTCTCAGGCCACGAAGAGCCTACTGTCTCAAGGCTGATGGTGACTCTGCTGGTCACAGGTTATCAGACAAGAGGGGATCTTCGGCTCAGTAGAGGCCTCCTGCAGGCGAGAGCATTGTTCCCTTTCTCTTTTGTTTCTCCTCCAGACTACTCGGGGCCAGATTTTGCAGGAATATCGAAAAATCAAAAAGGTAAGTTTCCACCCCTTGTGGGGGGTGGGGTGGGGTCAGATGAAGCTGGCTCAAGGTGAACCACACTAGGGAAGGGCCTTGGCTAGGCCCGGTTCTCCAGTCCTCAGAGCAGCTCCTGCCTCCCCCTCCCCCACCATTTACTGCTGAGAAGCTCAGTGCATCCCTTCCCTGGCAGCAAAACACCCTCCATCCAGCACTCCCACTCCTCCGCCGGTGCAGCCCCCAGGCTCTTTCCAGCTCCCCCCAAGGACACCGGAGGAGCTGAAGCTCCCCGCCCCCCCCCTGCAGCAGGAATGCGCCCGCAGGGCTCTCTCAGTTCTTGCTCTGAAGGCCGCTAGCCATGTGTGTGCCCCTGTGCGCCAGGCCCCCAGTCCAGGAAGGAGGCTTCCTGACAGTCTTGCCTCTGGCCGCCCTCATCCTGGCAGTGACCCTGTTTCCCAGGATGGGGCTTGGGGAGAGGCACCAGCCCAGGGCTGGCCTGAGGTGGAGCAAGGGTCCTCGTCCTTGCGTGGTGGGCGCTGGCCTGCAGGCAGGGGATGGGAACCCATAGCTGCCCGTAGGCTGGCACACGAGGCAGCCCTTGGCCCCGCTGAGCTCTGGGACTCAGGCTGGTGGGGGATGTGGCTCAGGCCCGCCTCTCTCTTGCAGACCAACACCAACTACAGCCAGGAAAAGCACCGCTGCGAGTACCTGCACAGCAAGCTGGCCCACATCAAGAGGCTCATTGCGGAGTACGACCAGCGGCAGCTGCAGGCCTGGCCCTAACCTGACGCCAGGGCGCCGGAGGTTCTGCGAGGCCTGCTGGGCCAGCTCCCCTCGCTGGGCTGACCCTTCTGGAGTGCAGGGGAATGGGGGGGCTGGGCGGGGGTGGGGGAAGCTACAGAGCGGAAAAAGAGATTTATTTAAAAAAATAAACACAAGGAAGACATGTTCATCTGAGCCAGCAACGCCGGCTTTCAGGGGAGCCCCCGCAGACTGCTGCCCTCAGCTCCCCGAGGAAGGTGTGGTGGCCAGTGTCTCATCCCATGCCCCCAGCCCCCCACATCTACTGGGGAGCCCCCACCCGGGATGGGCTCTTCAGGAGGCCCACCTCCTCTCCAGCCTGCAGCCCAAGGGGCTTCAGTGTCCCCTCCTGGAAAGACTCCAAGGCCACCCTGTCTGCCTTTTCTAGTTTTATACAAAGACAGCCACTTTTAGCTACTACTTAGGAGACTCCTGTCTATTTTTGTATGAGAGAGAAAGCATCTTTTCTAAACCTGTGCCTCCCCTCCTTGGATACCAGGGTCCAGATGCCGCCCTGTGTCCTGCCTGCAGTATTACAGATGACATCGGAAAGTTCAGAGCTGTTCCTGAGGGCTGGGGGCCGGGGAGGGTGGGGCGCAGGGGTTGCTGCCAGCTGGGCTGGCCTCCTGGGCTGTCCTACTGGGCTGGTGTCTGGCTGTGCTCCTGCTCTGGGCCCTCCTTCCTGCCCTGGCCTCCCCAGCCCTCACGGCACCCCCAGGCGAGGACAGGGTCTCTGCTGTACCGGGGTGGAGGCCCGCCCAGGGCTATTTCGAGAACTCCAGCTGGCCCGGAGCAGCTGCGGGAGCTGCGGGAGCAGAGCCGCTCTTGGCCCACCGGGCCTGCCCTGCTATTTCAGGCTCTCAGCTGTAGGGGGTCACTGGGGCTTTTCTGGGCTACGAGCTCACACTGCAAGAGCGGTGTCAGATTTTATTATGTTCTCAATTTCCCCCTTTGCTGCTGCTTTTCTTTTCGCGCTGAGACTGTGTGGTCTCCATGCTGTTGACCTCGCTCTGTCCCTCAGTCCGCTTGTGGGTCTTGGGGTCATCTTAGCAGAGCCACCGCAGGCTTTGCACTCAGGGAGGAGCTGGGGGTCAGGGGGGTCGGGGGACCCCCCCCGCCCGAGAGCGAGCTCAGAAAATGTGCCCTGTCCACCCACTCTGGGGGCATGGGCTCCATGGACACCATAATTGCTGCTTAGTAGCTGTGCCTAGTCCAGTGTCCCCCAGAGTGTCGGGGGACCAGGCGCACGCATGCACCTATGTGTGCGCGCGTGTGCACGTGTGTGTGTGTGTGTGTTGGGGGGGGACCCTGCCGGGTTGCAGTGGGGCCTAAGGCATGTGTTCACATTCAGGGCCACAGTCCACGGAGCCACCAGGACTGGGGAAGGCAGAGGCAGTGGCTGCAACCTGGAGCCTGGGGCTGGCAAGCTGGGTGGGGGGGGCTGGGGATGCTGCCACCCACAGGAGTGAGGCAGGGAGAGCACGAGCAATTGGCAGGCAGGTCTGTTCTTCTAAGCCACGGGGAGGTCTCCTGCTGGCTTCCCAGAGCGGCGCAGCGCCGAGCGGAGGCTCCCCCGCAGCATGCCTGGCCCACTGGTGCCTTCCTGGGGACCCCTGGGATGTCCAGAGCACCAAGGCAACTGATCCTTCATGTTTCAATGAGTGTTTTGTTTTTCATTTGGGATGGAGTGGGAGGGCTGAGCGGACCCCAGGGACCCCCGAGCTCCACAGATGGCCGTGTCGCGTGCGCAGACTGTACCCAGCCAGACAGGCAGACTCGGGTGAAGGATTATTTAAGGAGGCTGCAGCCGGAGGGCTAACCCAGCCCTCTGCCCTGGGAACCAGTTCAAGGGACTCTAAGTTGAATTTCCTTTTTGTTGTTGGCTTTTTGTTGTTTGTTGTTGTTGTTGTTTTTCTCCTTTTAAGGAATTATGAAGCTAAGAAAAGTATTGTGCTTTGGGGGATGATGGACAAAAGTTCTAGCTGATTAAATATGGTCTAACTTATTGATACTGTGTCCCCCCCCCCCTTTTAATATTGTACTGTGGAGAAAAACTATTTTGAGCCATGGAGTTGGTGTTTACAAGAACTTTTCACTTTTGCCAAAATGTTACTATTGAAAGGCATCTGCGTCTTCAGTTTCCTAATATTTTCTTAAAAGATCTAGTGTCCTTTTTGTACACTAAGCAGGTGAATGCTGATTTTTTCAACCTACAATAAATTTCACTGAACCGAACCCCGCAGCCCCAGGTGCCTGGGTGCATTTGTGTGTGTCCTAACCGGGGCCTCCTGGCCCCCTGTGGGGGTGGGCTGGGGTCAGAAGGAGACGGGGCACTGGAGCAGCCATGGTGTTGAGCAGGTATGAGGTGGGGGGGGTAGGGTGGGAGGCAGGGAGGCGGGCAGGTGGAGACTAGCCGAGACGGATGGGTCCTGCTAGTGCGAGGCATGAGGTCAAACTGCCTGGTCATAGGTAGGAAAGGATGAAGACAAGCCATGGGGATAGTGGGGAGCCACGGTAGGTATAGGAGTAGGGCTGTGTCCTCAGGTGTGTACAGGGTAGACCAGGTCCAGCAGGGGCCTTCCAAAGTGCCACAGCCCCCAGGAGTAGTAGGGACACATGGGGCCAGGGGAGTGCCCTTCCTTGGGGGGAAATGACCTGTGGATGGGGAAAAGGGCAGTGATGGCGCTGTTTTATTGTTTCTTCCCACCAGGCTGGCTCGCAGGGGCTGCCCCTGTGCCCATGATGGGGATGGGGTTGCCAAGGCCCAGTGGGATCCCCAGACCCAGAATGCCAGCAGGGATGGCTGTCCTTGTCCCATGCTCCAGGTGAGGAGATGAAGGCAGGGGTCAGGGTCCTGCTTTTGAAGGACAGGGTGGGGGTGGGTGTTTATTTTAGAAAGGAAAAACAGACAAAGAATAATAAGCCTGGGATGAAAGGGGTCCAGGGGTCAGGGGCTCTGGGCCTTAGGCTTTTGGACAGCCCCGCTGGCTCCAGCCTTGGCCCGAGTTCTAAGGTGGCCTGGGAATCCAAGGGGCGCAGGAGACAAGGTCAGGCGGGCCCATGGGGCAGAGTGTACCCTGCTCCCTGGGCAGCCTGGCCATCCCGTCCTTTCAGGGGATAACATCTCTATCCCCACAGTCCAAGGTCCAGGGCCAATGTCTGCTTCTTTGTACCCTGTCATGCCTTAGCTTTGCTGTGGCCACGTGCTCCCCAGGTCCTTCACCGGACTCCCCTGTAGCCCCTCACGCTGCCCAGAGGCACCATGGCCATCACGCCCTTGAGTGCGCCTCAGCTGCAGGAGGTGCCCCCAGCACTCTGATCCCACGGCCCCTTCTATGTGCTAGGCTCTGCATGGGCACTGGTACTTGGTGGAGATAGCCCTGCCCCTGCCCTCAGTAGCCTGTGTTATGGTGGGGACAGGGATTCCCCAGTCCCTCCCGGGGAGCACAGTACCCCCGTGTCACACACCCAGGCAGTCCCTGCAATCGCTGTCTGGTGCCCAACTGACTGTTCTGTCCTCGCCCTCCTCCCGGCACCTCCCACAGGCTGCCCAGTGAGTGCTGGGGCTCCCCAGGCCTAGGTCTTGGGGCCTTTCCAGTCCCTGCACATTCCCAGGTCACCTGGCACTTGGAGGCACAAGCGCCTTCCAGACCGCTGGCCCCAACTGGATTTCAGTTCTTGGAGCTGGTAGCAGAGCCTGCAGGTTAAGGGCTCAGTCCCATGAGACCGCCCCCCACTCCAGGCACCTGCCACAAGTCTCTGGCCACTGGCTATGAATCAGGTGTTCCCATGGCTCCCTCCTAGATTTGCTCAAATGGCTCACAGCACTCAGGAGAACACTTCAGCCGCCAAACAGGAGGTAGATGCTGAAGGCAGGGTGTGGGGAATGGCACTGGGCGCCCATGCCCTTCTCCAGGTGTGCCCCCCTCCCACATGTATGATGAAATCACCAGCCTTTGGCTGTTGCACTCCATCTCCAGCCAGAAACCAGGGACAAGACCCAAATACTTACTACACAGTATTCCCTGTCCCCAGCCTTGAGGGTCGGCCCTGGTCCCCAGACTGCTGCTCTCCCCATCCCACCTGGCCACCTTTTCACCTGCCCCTGAACCCACTCCCCCCAGGTTTTTGCATGGGCAGTTCTTCATGTGTCTTGAAGCAACCACCTCTCCCAGGCAGCCTGCCCTGCCAGACCCAACTTCCAAGTTGCCTTTGGCTTGGGGTGCCGCAGTCTACTTCCGGCTCCCCCACACTGGAGTCCCTTGAGGTTGAAGCATGGAGCCCCCAACCCCCAAGGCCAGGCCCTGACCATGTTTCCTGCGAGTGTTCCCAACTATCCACCTTTTGGGTCAGCTCCAGTGGTGGAAACTTTCCAGCCAGAGGAGGCCGCTTGTTTTGGAAAGTTCCTGGGGGAGCCGCCCCCGCCCGCCCGCCGGGTTCCCACGCTCCCTTATCACTGGGTGCTCCGGGGGCGCAGTGCTGTGCGAGCCTCGCTCCTCCCCAGCTGACCTCCTTGGTCCTGCCCCCTCCCCCCTTCTCCTCCTCTACTCACCGAACACTGGCCCCTCCAGCCTGGCTCCGCCAAGCCCTCCTGCTACAGGTAGGGAAACTGAGGCCTCGCAGCGCCCCTTCCAGCACACCGTGTGAGCCAGGTCGGGACTGCCTGGTGGGTAGTACGGCTCAGGAAAGGGGAGGTGGAGGCGGCCTGGGCTGGAGGACTGCCTGGCTGTGGGCTCTAAGCCCCGGCTCAGCCTTTGGCCCTAGCTTCCACAGCAGCATCTCGGACCCAGGTGCCCAGCCCCACCTCCTGCCTGGTGGCTGGGCCTGGCGCGATCTCGCAGCGCTAATGTTCTCTTCTGTAAAATGAGGAAAAGTGGCCGCGCGCCCTAACTGGCTGTGATGCGACGCGAGTCCATGCGCCCGGTGCGGATGGCCGGGGTCTGTAGCCCATGTGGATGTCCCGCCGCACCCGGTGGGGCGGGAACCCAAGGGCAGGGATGGCTTGGGCCTGTGGGGCCTTGAACCCGAGACCTCCGAGTGCTAGGCGGGCGCGCCCCTCCTCCCCGAGCGCCCCTCCTCCTTGGCGCGGGTGGGGTGAGGGGCGGGGCGTGGGCGGGGCCGCGGCTCTTTTCTCTGGAGTTCGCGCGCCCCGAGCCCTCGCCGACTGCCACTGTCCGAGTTGACTCCGCACCGGTGAGTGCGGCTCCGGGGCGTGGTGCGGACTCTCTGGGGACCGCGGTCGGCTTGGTCTGCCGGCTCTTGTGTCCCCGCTGACCTTCTGCCCACCCTGCGCCCCTAGCTGTCCGCGATGGAGGCCACAGCCGATTTCGTGGTCGAGAGCCCCGACGTGGTCTACGGCCCCGATACCATCGAGGCTCAGTATGAGTACCGGACAGCGTGCGTCAGCCGCGAGGGCAACGTCCTCAAGGTAGGCAAGGGACCCGGGCTGGAGGGTGAGAGCTGGGGGAACCTGGGACCCGGGAGGGGACAGGAATTACCCAACGTCGAAGACTCTGCTCCGATAGGGAGGAAGGGCCTGTGACCACAGACTCACTGCGCCGCCCTCCCCTAGGTATACCCCACGTCCACGCGCTTCACCTTTCGGACCGCCAGGCAGGTGCCCCGGCTTGGGGTCATGCTCGTCGGCTGGGGCGGGAACAACGGCTCCACGCTCACCGCCGCCGTGCTGGCCAACCGACTGCGCCTCTCCTGGCCCACGCGCACTGGCCGCAAGGTGGGGGGTCGGGTGGGGCTCGGCCAGAGTCCTTGCAGGAGGGGGAAGGGCCTTTAGGGGGCGGAGCCCTACGAAGGAGGCGACCCTCTGGGGACAGAGCCTAAAGTGCCCGCGTGCTGCCCTGGGTGTGTGTATGTGGTTGGGGGGGGGGTCTCCAAAGGGGTAACGGCTTCTGCCTTGACTCGGAGCACAGAGCTGAGGCGCCCAGAAGAAAGGTGGAGCTTGAGGGTGCTGGGTGGGGCCGTGAGGGCTGGTGGTTCACGCCACGCCCCACCTCACCCCGCCCCGCCTGCCGCCCCCCAGGAGGCCAACTACTACGGCTCGCTGACGCAGGCGGGCACCGTTAGCCTGGGCTTGGACGCCGAGGGCCAGGAGGTGTTCGTGCCCTTCAGCTCACTGCTGCCCATGGTGGCACCCGACGACCTCGTGTTCGACGGTGGGCGGGGCCCTAGGCAGGGGGCTGGGGTGGGAGGCGGGGCCTGGAGGGGTCCATGTTCTGAGTTGGGCTGAGCTTGGGGGTGTGTCGTCCCCCGCCCCAGGCTGGGACATATCGTCGCTGAACTTGGCTGAAGCAATGCGGCGCGCGCAGGTACTGGATTGGGGGCTGCAGGAGCAACTGTGGCCGCACTTGGAGGCCCTGCGCCCGCGGCCCTCTGTCTACATCCCCGAGTTCATCGCAGCTAACCAGAGTGTGCGTGCTGACAACCTCATACTGGGCACGCGCGCACAGCAGGTGCGGCCCCGCCCCAAGCCCTGTATCCCTTGCCACTTGTTGCTCTTGGCTTTCTCGAGCCTGAGTTACCACCCACCACTCCTCCCATTCCATGCCCCTCACCCCTTATTGGCCTTTTGTCTCCTTGTTCCCATTCTGAGGTTCCAGACCTCACTTTGTACTTGGGGAACTGAGTAGCCCAGACCTCCCCAGGTCGAGGGGCCTGTACAATCCCTTTCCCTCCCCACCCAGCTGGAGCAGATCCGTAGGGACATCCGTGACTTCCGGTCCAGCGCTGGGCTAGACAAGGTCATCGTGCTGTGGACAGCGAACACTGAGCGCTTCTGCGAAGTGGTCCCAGGCCTCAATGACACCGCTGAGAACCTGCTGCGGACCATCCAGGTGGGTGCACCCAGGGTTGGAGAGAGGGGTCAGGACCTGTCCCAAAGGATCCCTCCCTGCTGATCCCCCGCCTGTGTCCACAGCTGGGCCTGGAGGTGTCGCCCTCCACTCTCTTCGCTGTGGCCAGCATCTTGGAGGGCTGCGCCTTCCTCAATGGATCCCCACAGAACACACTGGTGCCCGGGGCGCTTGAGCTCGCCCGGCAAAGACGTGTCTTCGTGGGTGGTGACGACTTCAAGTCAGGCCAGACCAAGGTCAAGTCCGTGCTTGTGGACTTCCTTATCGGCTCTGGCCTCAAGGTGTGTGGGCCTGGGGGGTGCACAGCTCAGGAGTGGGGAGGGGGTGGGCTGGACCCCAAGCACCAGGCTTGTGGCCGCGGGGCTTGTGTGCCCTGGGGCCTGCAGCTGCCGCGGGGCCCCTTGTTCCCACAGACCATGTCCATCGTGAGCTACAACCACCTGGGCAACAATGACGGGCAGAACCTGTCGGCGCCGCCACAGTTCCGCTCCAAGGAGGTGTCCAAGAGCAGCGTGGTGGACGACATGGTGCAGAGCAACCCGGTGCTCTACGGGCCCGGCGAGGAGCCTGACCACTGCGTGCGTGGGCCATAGGCCGCTGGGGGGCCGGGGGCAGGGAGGAGCCCCTGGCGGAGCAGGGCGGGGCCCCCGTGACCTCGTGCTGCTCCCCAGGTGGTCATCAAGTATGTGCCGTACGTGGGCGACAGCAAGCGCGCGCTGGACGAGTACACCTCGGAGCTGATGCTGGGCGGCACCAACACGCTGGTGCTGCACAACACGTGCGAGGTGCGGGGCCCGCCCGGGCGGGAGTGGGGCCGCCCGCCGGCCCCACCCGCCTCCTGACCCGCCGGCCCCGCAGGACTCCCTCCTGGCTGCGCCCATCATGCTCGACCTGGTGCTGCTGACCGAGCTGTGCCAGCGTGTGAGCTTCTGCACGGACGCTGACCCGGAGCCGCAGGGCTTCCACTCGGTGCTGTCGCTGCTCAGCTTCCTGTTCAAGGCGCCGCTGGTGCCGCCCGGCAGCCCGGTGGTGAACGCGCTCTTCCGCCAGCGCAGCTGCATCGAGAATATCCTCAGGTGGGCCCCGGCGTTGGGGTCCCCATCGGAGGCCCGCACATCCGCTGGCCGCCTCCACATGGGGACTGGAGGGCCTGGAGTCTGTGGGGTCCTTGGCCTCGGAGTCCGGCCCCACTCAGTCCTGACCTTTCCCCCAGGGCCTGTGTGGGGCTCCCGCCGCAGAACCACATGCTTCTGGAGCACAAGATGGAGCGCCCCGGGCTCAAGCGAGTGGGGCCTGTGGTAGCCACCTGCCCTGTGCCTTGTAAGAGAGGAGCAGCACCCACTGCCCCCAATGGCTGTACGGGTGATGCCAATGGGCTCTCCCAGGCTGACGCACCCCAGATGCCCACCACTTAAGGCCATGGCCATCCTCCCCTAAAATTCTTGCCCCACTGCACCCTCAGGACCCAACCCTTCCAAGACTGCTGAAGACAATAAAGCCAGTGCCACTCTCAGCCACAGCATTATCTGTGGGTTCTTGGCGCCTGCGACCTAACCCTAGCCACCCCCCAACTCCAGCCCCATTTCCCATCTTTCTCGTGGTAGACTCCTAGCTACCCTTCCCAAAGTGATGCCCCAGCTCTTGAAACTTAAAAAACCCGGAGGCCTCTGCCTAACCCCTGATGGGAGGACGTGGCCACAAGCCACAGCGAAGAAATCTGGAGACCAGATACCAAAAACCAAAACCAAGTTACATTTATTGATGGGGCCCACCCCTGCCGTCCAGGGGAAAGGAGGTCCCCAAGAATCCCCCGGGGACAAAATAGAAATAGCGGGAAGGGCCTATACAGGAAAGAACGTCTCTGAGGTCCTTGCGTTTTGTTTTGTTTTTTGTGTTTTTTTTTTTTTATAAAATGAGAGTCCTTTGTGTGGGGCCTCCCAGCTGTCCAATCCTTGAACTGGATGGAGTACAGTCACCCGAGGTGTGACCTCAGACCCTCACCCAGCAGACTGCCCCAGGCCCTGGACCTTGGTCCCAGGCAGGGGCACTGGGCAGAAGCCGAGGCCGGCAGTGGGCAAGGGGCTGCTGCCCCATCACACGCTCATGGTCATCCCGGGCGAGTACTGCGGAGAGACGAGGGGGTGGCGCGCGGAGGCGGGCTCAGCTCTGGCCTAAGCTGGGACCCGCCCCCCGGGGAGAATGGGGGACGGGGCGGGGCGGAGGGAGGGGAGGAGAGAAGTGGCGATGCGTGGGGAGACTGCCCTGGGGTGCGGGTCCCAGGATGGGGTGGGGACAGGGAGGGGGGCCGGTGAGATTAGGGCGGGAATGGGGAAGGGAAAGAAAGGGGAGGGGAAGGATGCCGCGGCCGCCCCCCCACCTGGCCCGCCGCGGTCACGGTCTTGCTCTTGCCCCCTGGCCGCCCCGCCGGGGCCTGCCCGCCAGGCCCCTCCGGCCCGACGCCGCCGCGGGGGGGGGAGTCGACGCAGTCGCTTACGCTTTCGCTCGGGAACGGGTGCAGGAAGGTCCCGGCGGCCGCCATCTCGCCGTCGTCCCGCGGGGTGCCCGGGGCGTTGCTCAGGCCGGCCACGGCGCCGGGGGAGCTCTGGGGGCGGCCGCGGTCAGCGTAGGACTCCCCGCCTCGCGGGCCGGGCCCTGCCCACCGCTCGGCCCAACCCCAACTAGGCTTCCCAGCTCTGACCCAACCCACATCCCCGCACCCAGGGAGTCCCAGGTCCCGTCCCCACGCAGGACCGCGGCCCCTCACCTTCGGCAACCCGTCCATATCGCCCGAGCCTGTGGACGGACAGACCGCGGACCGTGGCTCAGATGTGCCTGGGACAGGCCAGCACCAATTCCCCGCTCCCCCCAGCCCAGGGTCAACTAACCCCTTCCTGAACTTGCTGCGTGGCCCTACCTCTGTCCCTGGGCCCAGCCCGCTGGGACCCCGCTGGGGGTCCCGGATGGAGGGTCAGGACGGTGGGGTCAGTGATGGCACTCTTGGCTTAGTTGCTGGAACTCCTCCCCCCCCACCCCCCCGCACACCTTCCGCCACTTCCCCCCTCGCAGCCCCTGCCAGGGGACTTGGGGTGCAACCGGGATGCCGGCAGGGAAACTGGGGGGGGGGGAGCAACCGCCAGGGGGCGCAGGCGGCTTGCGAAGTAGCTGGGGTGGGGAGTGAGGTGTGTCTCTCTACTCAAAGCCCACTCACCCAGGGATCCGTTCACGTGGTGAGGCTCCATCGCACTCATGGCCGCCATGGGGCCCTCGGGACCAGGGCCGAGCGGGAACTGCGGGCAGGGGGCAGCGTGGGACTAGGGCCATCAAATCCCAGCGGGGGAACCGCCTGCCGCAACACCCACCCTGGAACCCCCCCAACTCACATTAGCCCTGCCGGCGCCCGGCCCAGTGGGGTTCATGATGGTGTACATGTTCTCGCTGGAGTTGGTGGAGTCTGGGAGAGATACCGGGACGTAAGGGGAAGGGCTGCGAGGACTTCTCCGGGAGCGCACACCCCTCCCTGTACCGCCCAGGCTGCAGCACCTCCAGGGCTGGGCATGATGGGTGTTCCAGGGGGCCCACCTCCTCCTGGGGGTCCCTGCGCAAGGAAGGAGACAGAAGATGAGAAAGACCCCCCCCTCATCTGCCAACCACCGCCCCTGCCCCCTGGCTTGAATGGCGCAGCCACTGCGTCACTCAGTCACTCACCGTCACTCAGTCACTCACCGTGTAGCTGCCGGGGGAGGAGGAGGAATAGGGAATCTGGGGAGAGGGGCAGCCATGAGAAGTTGCCCTACTGTACCCCCACACCGCTCATCTGCTCATCCACCCACCACCCTCCTGGGGCCGCCAGCCCGCCTCTCACCGAGTTTCCACTGGGGCTGGCCCAGGGGCCTCGCACTCCAGGGCCCCTAGAAGACACAGTGGGTGGACCCCAGGGTGAGGCCAGGTGGTACACAGACCCCCACTACACATTTCGTGACCTCCCCCACTCTGCCCCACGGGCCCCCAAACAGGGCCACAGAGCAGCCCATGTTGGCTGAGAGTTGGTACCCAGGGATGGATTCCAGTCAGCCTCCGAATCCCATCCTATCACTCACTGGCCTTTGGGCCTCAGTTTACCCCCCAATACAGAGTAAACCACCAGAGCGGTTGTGCAGACTGAGTATGCCCCAGCAGAGTCAGCCCATGAAGCTGGGTGGGTGGTGGCCTTACATGTTCATGGTGGGCAGGCCCGGGCCGGCGAGGGAGTTGGGTGGGGGCCGCATGCCACCTCCATAGCTCTGGGAAGGCAAAAGCATGGTGAGTGCAGGCCAAGATGTCGGGGAAAGCCCCAGAAGCGTACCCTCTCTCCTGGCCCAGCCCTTACCTGGGGTCCAATGTTGGCCATGCCCCGTGGAGGTGTCACTCTCTGCATCGGGCCCAGGCTAGGATGCCCTGGCGGGGAGGGAGGCAGGAGGAGGGGGCTCAGGCCAGGAATACTCCCCAGTGTGGACATGCACTGGAGGGGGGCGGTTCTGCACCAGCAGGCAGCAGGGACAAGGAACTTGGAGCTGAGGGTGGCAGCAACGGGAGCTTCCCTACTCACCCTGAGCACGCGGGGAGGGTTCCATGGCGCCAGGGAGGAGGGGCTGGGAGCCGGGGAGCCCCACAGGAGGCTGCAGAGGGGGTGTGGCAGCACTGAGCGTGGGTACCCCCTCGCTGGCCCAACTCCTGCCCCCCCTCCCCTCATCCCTCTCTCACCTGACTCGGCATCCGCAGGGTGGGCCGGGGGCCCCCTGGGAACCGCGGTGACATGAAGGGCTGGAAGAGGTGGGCCGGGGATCAGCACCTCCCACCGCCCACTCACCCCCCAAAGCTACCCCAATTCCTGCAGCCGCCCGGGCCCCCAGCCTGGACAGCCCCCCTCCTCCAGGACCAGCCAGCAAACCACAGCCAGCCAGTGCCTGGTGCGTGAATGCGGTGGGGCTGGGGGCTCCATCTGCTGGGATGTGCGTGCGCAAAGGGGCAGGGCATCACAGGTCCTTACCTGAACATGAGGCCCCATCATGGGGGCGGTGGGGTTGTGGGGGGGTTGCTGGGAGCCAGGGGGGCCCTAGGAGGACAGAACCAGGTGGGTTGGGAGGAGCGAGGTCCACCGAAGCTTCACTGTTTTCTGTGGCCCTACTGAGCCTGGCCAGGGAGGGTGAGGGGACGCCATGGAGGTGGGAGGGTGGGCCAGCCCTGTGCTCCCCCGAGGGGAAGACGGGGTTTGGAGTGAGGGGCCCTAAGGGAACAGTCACAGGCAAGACCCATGGCTCAGAGAGCCATGCTCTGAGGCCCTTAGCAACCAGGCCCGCACTGGCCAACCTCACAGAGACGCCACCCTCTTCTGCTTTGGGGCCCAGCCCAAACGGTCCCACCCCTGCCCTTGCCACCAAAGCCACCACACAAATACCCACCTCCTGGAAAGCCCCCGACCCACCTGCGGCCGGCCCGGGCCTCTCCCTGTAAGATCCACCGCCCCCACCCTCACGGCCCACGCCTTCACCCTCCAACATATGCCCACTCGAGTTGGAGAACAAGGGGCACCGGCCCTGGCTGTACCTGGAAGAAGCTGGGGGCCATGGGGCCTGCTGCCATCGCATCGTTGGGGGCCATGCTCCCCATCACGGGACTGGGGGCCGCTACAGCACTCTGCAGGGGTGAGGTAGACCAGGAGCACTAGCTCTCGTCACTTCCTGCTGAGTGCCCCCTCCTATCTGCAAACAGCCCACTCTGCAGAACAAGGAGCCTGGGCCTGGGATCCTCCACCCCGGTGAGGGTGTGAGGACGCCTGGAGGGTTCTCTACATGAAGGAGGAACCGCTGCCCCTGTCCCCAGCCCAGTGTCAGCTGCCCTGACTCGGGGCTGCTCATTTGTCCTCAAACGTGCCGTGTGGACACAGGCTTTGCCTCTTAGCAGCACCCAAGACACTGGCAGTGGTCGGGGCCCTGCCTGGCACCGCCCACAGCCCAGGGAGGAGGCCAGAGACCTGGGGATCCCGGCTCCCAAGGAGTCAGTCCCAAGCCTGAGGATTCTGGGGGTCTGAAGATGCCAACGACCCAGGACCCCCGTGGGCACGTGCCTCCCGCATCTGGCACGGCTCGCTCTTCCCATCGGAATTTCACCTCAGACTAGTGGGCGCGTCGTCCCTGACTCTAGCCCCAGCCCCACACGCCCCAGGTTCTCCTGGCTGGGAAGACGGACAAGCTGGACTCCCAGCTCTGCCCAAGACACCCAAATAAACAGAAATCAACTGGCAGCTTCAAGGTGAACCTCCCTCCCAGAGGGCTCCTCCCGGGAGCTGCGGGGGCAGAGCACCCCCCCCTTCCAGTCCGGAGGGGGAGGAAGAGCAGGACTAGGGGGCGGGGTGTCCAGGCTCCAGACCTCTCTTCAGTTGGAGGAGGGGAGAAGACCGGGTGCTAGACAGGGGAGTTCCCATGTCAGCCAAGGGTGGAGATGCTGGTGGCAGGCCAGAGCTGGCAGGGGGACAGGCTGACAGGCCACTTCCTCTGGTAGGTTCCAAGTCCCAGGCTTGTCTGCCTTTGGGAACAGAGGAGGGAGGAGGGAAATGGAGGCCTAGTCTACAGGGTAGAGGGAACACACTCTGCAAGGACTGAGTAAAGACAGTACTTCTGTGGGGGCCCGTCCACTCTTGCCTGCTGGATCATCTGCACCCACTCAACCCCCAACGGGATCTGAGAGGGAGGGTATGGTCTGCTTGGGGCACAGCTCTTCCTGGGACTGACACAAGCCATCACATGGGGATGCTCAGGAATTTGTAAAACTGCAGCCACTTGGGCTCAGAGAAATGAAGCATTTTGCCCACGGTCACACAGCATTTCCTGCTCCAAAAAGCAGGGAGAGGGCCCCTTGGCTGGGTCAGAGTAGGACCCATGGAGACATACTCCTCCCCTTGGGTATTGCAAGCTGCCCCCCACCTTCCTGCCCCTTCTCAAAGACCAACCTCCAAAGGTCTCCTACCCAGGTCCCAAGCTGGGGGAGCAGGGGACACGCCTTCCCCGGCCTATGGTGACTGAAAACAATCCCAGGGCCCATCACCAACCTTTTGAAAGCCAAAGAGATCCTAGGAGTGGGGGGGTAAAGCTCTCACACCCTCCAAACTGCCCCCCCCCCCCCCCGCCTCCACCCATCCCCCCCAGGGACACACACAAACTGACAGCTGGAGCGCCTACTGTATTCTTGAAGGCTCCTGCCTCAGTGGCTGAAGGAGGCACTTCTGAGCCTTCGGTCCGTCAACTCCCCCCAACCTACCCCACAGAGAGGATGGGAGAGCAGTCCCCCCGTTCAAGCCACAGCAGGCGCCAAAGCATTTCCTGGTCAGGAGGGAGGAGGGGGGGCAGCCGCTCTCTGGGCTGCCAACGAGGTGTGGGGGCAGGGAGAAGATGGGGCACCCCTCACTCACTGCGGCTCCCCAACTCTAGGCCCAGAAAGGTTAATACAGGGCCCACCCTCACTGGCGGGTGGCCCGAGCTAGAACCCCCCACGTCAATCATCCACCCGGAGACGCCCTGGCCCATCCCGCGTTGCTATGACGATGGGTTGGGCGCGCTAGCGTTTCCTGGAGACGCCGCAGTCGGCTGCCAGGAGGGGTGAACTGAGCCCCCACTCGGAGGGGGCCCCCGACCGTGCGGGGGAGGAAAGCACAGAGCTCCCCCCACGTTAGAGCGGAGGCCGGGCAGGATGTGCGCCCGCAGCTATAGGGAACCCGTCACCCGGGGCCGGGGCGCTCCCTTCCCCCCCACCACGCCCGCTGTGCGCACTATCTCCCCCGACGCACTCCGCAGCCATGGTAACCGTCGCGCTCCCAGAAGCGCGCTCCCGCCGAAGTGGAGAACGCTGTGCTCCGCCTTCCTGCCCTCCCCAGAGGGGCCCTGAGAGGCCGCTAGGGGCGGGGGCAGAGGAAAGGCCCGGGTAGGGGTGGGGAGGGAGGGGGGCACCAGCAGGCTGGGAGGGGGCTAGGGCCCGACTGGGAATGAGCGCCCACGCGGAGTCATGCACACACACAGATCCAGACACCCCTGGAGCCCCATTCTGGCAGAAGAGGGACGGGGGGTAGGGGGCGGGGGCGGGCGGGACGCTTAGGGGCAGTGGAACCCAGTGGGGACCCGGGCTCCCATGCACATTGTACAACAGGTGCGGGGCGGCTTCCGGACATGATGGTTACCCCTCATGGACTGCACCCCGGCTCTAGAAAGGCCGTCACTTGCGGGGCGGGGGGAGGAAGCGCTTTTTGTGGGGAGGAAGCGCTTTTTGTGGGGAGGCGGTGCACGACCTTGACCAATTGCAGAGCGATTGGTCGGCGGGACGGGCCACGCCCTGGGAGGCCCGAGAGGGCACAGCTGGGCGGACTGCTCAGGCAGTGAAGCCCGCAGCTGTAGGAGACTGGGTGCACAAGGGGGGGCGCGGGGGGAGAAGGGAGAACTCGCCTAGAGCTGCACCGCCCCTAGACGCCAGCTGAGCTGCTGCTTCCCCCTTGAGTGGGCCCGGAGGCCCCAAGCCCTTCCTGCCCAGCCGGAGACTTCTCTGAGAAGCCAGGTGGCCAAGCCCCACAGCCAGGACGAAGAGGATAAAGGCAGGGGCAGCCATCTGCTCCCCATGATGACGAGATGCCACAGCTCTTTCATGTTATCCCCTCCTCTCCAGATAGGCCTTGGACCCGCACTCAACCTGGACTGAAACCGAGGCCAAAAAGGTAGGGTCAACAGCCCCAATCACCAAGCAAAGTCAGGAAGTGTGCCTGTGCTGGGCCTCTACTGCTGGAGGGTGCCCCTGCCCCTTAGCCAAGCCCATTGCCCCAGGGGCTCAAAAAGGCTGGGGTGGGAGGAGCTATGCCATGGTGGGCCCACGCCCAACACAAATACACACCACCCCCCCACACACACCCGGGGCAGATGGGGAGGCAGAGCTCCTCACTCCGGGCTCCCAAGGGATTCAGATGAGGGGGAGGTGAGGCAGGGCTGGGGTCAGGAAGGTGGGGGGTGCTGTGGGGACCCTCAGGAGCTGGGTGCAATAGAAGGAGCCTCCCCCACCCCGTGAGTGACCCTAGGCTGAGGGCATAGGGAAGCCCCAAAAGTGGCCAACATCCCAGATTAAACCCCAACACCAGACCCACCTGCCTACCCCAACCAGCCTCAGGCCATGCAGGCCCCCAAGGCCCCAGGCCTTGAAACTGGCCCATGCCCAAGAGCCCTGATCCAGGTCCATGGGGCAGGGACTCACGTAGTCTTGGAAGGCCTTGGCCTCATTCGAGTGCTCACACGCCTCTCTGCGGTCAGGTGCTGCACAGTACAAGTCCCAGAACACACTGTGGGCGGCAGGGGAGGCGGGGGGGGGGGACGATGGTTTCCCTAGGCATCCCCACCCAGTCCCCCTCCACACCTCCCACCAGCCCCACACGCACCACCACCAGGAATGCAGGAAGCCTGGGGGCTCCCCCAGCGTAATGTTCTTCTCCCATCGGATCTGCAGGGGAAAAGCAAGATGGTGAGGGGGACCTACTGCCCAGCCCCTCCTGACCTCTTCCAACGTGAGGCAGCCCCAGCCCATCCTGATGCCTGGGGAATGGGGAACCAGCCACCCCAACCAAGGGTGCGGGGCAGGGGACAACCGGGTCAGGGGCAGAGAAGTGGGCATAGATCCTCAGATGGCCAGACAGATGCCCTGATCCCAGCCCACGGACCCTGACCCCCCCCCCAGCCCTCAGTCCCCAGAGCCAGCAGAGGAGCAACCCAACCCCACCACTGGAGCCCCAGTGGAAGCGGGTGGAGAGGACGCCAGGGTATGGGTAGTAAGGAAGGACCCAGCCTGGGGGCTCCGCCCGGCAAGGCTGGCTTACCTCGGACAGAAAGGTCTGGGCTGACTTCTGGGCACCGACGTGCAGCAGGTACTCGTACACATACAGCGCCAACCTGCAGGCAGGGTGCCGACCAGTTCAGGCTCTCCGGAGGCTGCAGCCGTCGCCACAAGCCCCTCCGCAAGGGTCCCCGGGAGAGGCCTCGGTGAGCCCTTTCGTGACACCATCCTCAGCCTCACTCACGGCCCCTCCCTGGTTCCCCAACTGCCCCCCGCCATCTCTCCCACCCTGACGTGACACCTTCATCAGGTGCTCAGTCCTGCCAGCTCCCACACATTCGTCAACGCCCAGCCGGCGCCCTTCATCTAGGCAGCACCCCTGCAGCCCCGACCCCTGACTTGCAAGCCACCCATTCTGCTCAGTTCCACATCCCCTCGTGGGCCAAGCCCTGGCCCGGTCCTCCCAGTGTTGAGACCCCAGAACAGCCTTCATCCCAAGACGATCTGGCCAGGAGAAAGGGCTCCTGAGCGTCACTCCAGATTCTACCCTGGGTGGGGTGTCCCAGCGGGTACCTGAGGCCATGTGGCCGGGGCCCAACACCTAATTTCCTTCTGGCTTTCTCTGCTAGGGAAAGAAAGGTGCCCTCTAACCTGAGGTCTTCCTCCTCCAGATGCCCCCACAACCCCATTTTCTTTTTCAGGTCAAGAGCCCATCTACCCATGGTGGCCATGACCCAGCTCCACCAGCCCTGCAGAAGTAGTGTGGACAAGTGAGGGCAGGTGAGGGGCCATGGGGCCGGCAGTGCCACTTGGCTGCCATGGCACTGCCTTGTGGAAACACAGTGCCCAGTACTCCTGGATGGACCAGGCTGGCTGCGACCTGCCCCTAGAACACAGCCACCTTCTGACCAGCAGGGTCCTCCACAGGCCACACAGGAATGCCAGGCCCTCTACACCATCTTCCGAGCCTCCACATCCTTGGCCCTGACACCCCTCCCCCATCAGTCCTCCCCACGAGCAAGCAGAAAAACTTCCTGCCTCCTGGGGTCACCCACTTCCCAACCATCCACAGTTACTGGCCCTTCCCAGTGCTCCCAGGAACCTACTGTCCATCCAGGCCCCACATAGGCTGAGAGGGTTGGTTCTAGATCCAAGACCGGGGGGCTCCCCAAGGGCGGCCCTGAGCTAGAAGCCCTTCCAGGACACCTCCCCACTCAGTTGGCCCACCCTTCCCTGGCTGAGGGCCCCATCCTAAAATCACCCTGCTTTGACTCATGTTCCTGTTCTCTCCCACCTTCCCAGCCAGGCTTCTTGGTCCTCACATCCCCGCTCCCCATCAGATCACCCCCCACTTCCTCAGCTCCCCTCAGACCTTGCGGAAATAGTTCTTGCCATTCTGTCCAGGCCCCTGCTCCCTGCTCCCCCCGACTGCTTCTGCTCTTACCCTGGATCCTCTTCCTTCCTCCACCCGTTTTCATTCATTCAGCACTCGCCCAGCACATTTGTGCAGTATACGTTACAGGCACCTGAACCCCTGGAGGCTACCTGAGGAGTTCTATGGTAGGCGGGAAAGTAGTGCGTGCTAGGGAAGGACAAGAAGCAGATGTTTGAGGGACTGGGGTGGGTGGACCCAGGGCAAGGTGTGCCCCCCAGCTCCCATCGCACCAGATGAGCTGTGACAGCCACTGACGGGGACAGGGCACGGCGGGGCAAGGCTCATGGTGGTCCCGCCGCTCCAAGTGTGGGTTTTCCTCAAGACCGGCTGTTGACTCGGCCACATCATCACTCCGCTCTCTCAGCCCCCCTGCCCCCATAGCCTCCAGGTTTAGCTGTCCAACTCACTGCTAGGATTCTCTTCCTTTTTAGAGGCTTCCTGAGCCTTCAAGCGGTCTGCATCTGCTGGCCCAGCGTCCATCAGTGAAGGAACAACGGGCTGAAGCAGAGCCAACCAGCCCAGGCCTGCCCGCCCCCTCCCCCACCCTCCGGGCAAGGAGAGAGGCTGACGGAGAGATCCAGCCAGCCCCTCACCCATTCTGGGGGTCACTGCAGGAAGCAGGAAAGTTGATGATGAGATGCCCAGAGATAAGGGAGCAGGATGGGATGGGGGAATCAAGCTAGGCAGGTGTAGGGATAGGGACAGGGAGACTGCAGTCTTGCCCTTTGGGCATTCTGGTTCAGAAAGCTTTCTGAAGAAGTGACCCTTGGCTCCTACCACATCCACCAAGGACTCAACACCGCCAGCCATCAGGTCCTCCCACACCTCCCTTTTGCCCTCAACTGTTCAGGGGTGGCATGTGACCCAGGATGCAGGACCCCACTCCTGCCTGCTCCCCTCCCCCCTCCACTAGCCCTGCCCGAGCTCAACCCTGGGCCCTAGCTTCTCTCTGGGTAGCCTCCTCTCCGGCTTTGATGACATCTTTGTGCAGTTGCCCAAACTCGGGGTTCACGTGACATCTTCAACATGCTCCCCACCAACTTCTTCCTTTTCCACCTCCCCTGTCCCATCTGACTTGGGTAGTCTGGCCTTGACTCACAAAGATACATGGATGCATGACTGTCTACCCAGCCATCCCCCTGAGATCACTGCACTTACTGAATGTAGGGACAAATTTTAAGGAAAACACTCTCTCTTCTGCTTTGGAGCCCTCCTGTTGCCTTCTCTACCACACTGGGTCCGGGCCACTACCACCTCTTGCCTGGATTTCAACAGGGCTCCCCCAGGGGCTACTCTCTCCCCAGCCTCTAGAGTCTCCACATACACACTCACCCTATAGCACTCCTTCAGTCCCTCCAATGGCCCAGCATACGTACAGTGGCCCCCCTCCACCCCAGGGCCTTTGCACAGGGTGTTCCCCCACCTGGGGCACTTCCACCTAGAGACCTATGTGGCTCAAATGTCACCTGGCACAGTCTTCCCTGTCACACCTCACCTCCACCTGCCCCATCCACCCTCCAACCACTTTATCCCCTTCTGACACAGGTGTCTCTGCTCACTGCCTGCAGCTCCTTCTGAAACAGCTTTGGGAGGGCAGGGACTTGGCCTCTTTAGCTCACGACTGAACTTACAACAGCGCCTGGGGCTTCTTGCACCCCTAGCTACCCCAGATGAATGAACAAACCAACATGGGGACTCCCTCCTGCGAGGACAGGATTGACAAAGGCAGTCAACTGGTAAGCACCAGTAAAAATCAGCTTAGTATTTTGACGTTAAGGATTTGGGGTTTTATCCCCAAAGCAAAGAGAAGCCAGAAAACATTTTAAGTTTTGTTGGTTTCTCTTAAGGGTTCGTCCTCTCATTTTTACCAGGATAGAGTCTCAGGGAAGGACTGTGAGCTGTTTTGTTTTCAGGAAAAACTTGTGAAGCCTGGACATTAGACCATGCTGTTTGAGACCCCATGCAGGAGCCTCCCACCTGAGGTGTCCGTTCCAGCCCTGATCTCAGGGGAAGGGCCTGGGGTCTGAATCCAAATCCTAGCATTCCTACCCCTAACCAGGCTGGCAAATGACCTGTGGAACAAAGAGCACACTCATGGGAGGGGCTTCTGCCGTAAGAAGACAGGTGGCTGGAAGGAATGAGTGACCTAGAGGATACGGGGGTGAGGGGGTGTCCCCAGACCCCAAGTGTTCACAGGAAGAAATGCACGCGGGGTTGCTCAGGTGACAGAATGGGTGGGACATTAGAGCCTTGGAGACTACAATGTGGTCCCACCACTGTAATGAGCAAAAACTATGGCAGGGGCGCTTGGGTGGCTCAGTGGGTTGACCCTCTGCCTTCGGCTCAGGTCATGATCTCAGGGTTCTGGGATTGAGCCCTGCATAGGGCTCTCGGCTCAGCAGGGAGCCTGCTTCCCCCTTCCCCTCTGCCTGCCTCTCTGCCTGCTTGTGCTCTGTCAAATAAATCCATAAAATCTTTAAAAAAATAAAGAACTATGGCAGGTAATGGAGGTTCTGAGCACTAGTACAGTGTCCTCCTCCTGCTTAAAGCCTCTGGACTTGCTCCTGGGGGCTGGGAGACGCCCTCTATTCAGGGCCTTGTATCACTTCCCAACAGAGGGACGCTCCAGCCCACGCATTTCTTTCCCCAAGCCCCTTCACCCTGCTACCCTCAAGGCCAGGCCTTTGGGTGTTTCCTCACCATCTGCCTGGCAGCCTCCATGCTTGCCCCTTCTCCCAGCCAGTGGCCTGGGTGATGACCCCCACTCACGAATTCGCCCTCTGTCTTCCTCCTCCTGTTCCTTCCCTCTTCTCAAGCCCTTCCTTGGAAGCTTCCCTGTGTCCCCTGGCTCTGCTCTGCCTCCAGGACTCAGTTCAGGGGTTCCTTTCTCAAGAACCTTTTGCTCATTTGCCCTCCAAACAAGGATGCCCACAGCCACACCTGGAAGCCCGGCAAGAGAGCAAACACAAGGTGATTCCCTCACCTGCTGGGCTACGGAACAAACTACCCGTGGTCAGGTGCCCCTTCTCAAAACCAGTCCTGGCAAAAAACACAACACACCAACCACGGTTGTCATTTACGGAACTATTTAAACCTACCTGGCAGGACTTCACATCGGCAGAACCTCTGGGGCCACAGGGGGAAGAATATAAAGGGAACTAAGGGGACTTCCACTAACCCTGTGACCTTCGTCCTCTTATTTAAAAAGCCTCGAAACCAAGGACCAAATGCAAGTGCTAGTTAGTCCTGGGTGGTAGGTGCCCTCCAGGCTGCCCTGGAGGCTGGGAGTGTTTATTATTGGATTCACCATCCACGCACCCAGCAGGTACTCAGTCCATTTCTGGGGCAGGCTGTCCCAGACCTACTGCTGAGATGAGGAGCAAGAAGTGGGCTCAAGACAGGGACCCGAGAAGGAAGAAGGGCAGGAGGAGGCAGGACTGCCAGCCTGAAGAAAAACAGCACCACAGAGGGGCGCCTGGGTGGCTCAGTCGTTAAGCATCTGCCTTTGGCTCGGGTCATGATCCCAGTGTCCTGGGATCCAGCCCCACATCAGGTTCCCTGCTCCTCAGGAGACCTGCTTCTCTCTCTCCCCCTTCCCTGCTTGTATTTCCTCTCTCACTGTCTCTCTCTCTGTCAAATAAATAAAATCTTTAAAAACAAACAAACAAACAAAACCAGCCCCACAGAGCTGAGGACCTGAGCAGTTTAGCGTCCCCACACCCCCATTTCACAGAGGAAGAAACCGAGGCCAGAGACAGGAAGTGGCTCTGCTGGTGGCTGCCTGTGTGCGGTGCCCTCCCTGCAGCCTCTCATCCCTGTCCTTGTAAGAATCCTACAAGGCCGGTTGTCCATATTTCAGAAACCGATGCTCAGAGCAACCAGCCATCCTCTCCAGGGTGCCCTCCCCCCTCCCGCCTTCTGAGATCTCTCCCGCGCCCCAGACCCAGAGACCTCCCTCAGCAGATCGCTTCCTCTCCAGGGCTCAGGCAACCCCCCCCCCCACGGATGAAATACGGGATGTGACCATCTGGTGTTTTCTAAACTTTCTTTAGCAGCAGAACCCTATCTCCAAACCAAGGCTCCGATGGGACCCTCTCGAAGAAATGGACAAGCACAGGACGGGTCTGGCCACCCACGGGGGCTGGAAAACAGGCACGACGGGGCCTTTAGTCCCCGCAGGAGGTGTTTTTGCAGCAGATCCCAGAGTCCTCCCACTGTGAGCCGTGTGGTCTCCCCAGGGGACCCACCCAGCCGCCAGCGCGGGGCTGGGGCCGCCAGCCCTCACGCCCTCTCCTCGCTCAAGCTCTTCCCGACGTGCAGGGGTCCCCAACTGGTCAGACCCCCACCCCACCCCACCCCACCCCACCCCATCCACGGCCCCGGCAACTTCGCTGGAGACCGGGAGATGCCGCTCCGGGGCGCGACCTCGCGCGCACGCGCGACCGCAAACTAGCGCACCCAAGACTCGACGGTCGGGGAGGTCGCGCGCCCCCTCAAATCCTGCGCCCACGAGTCTCGCGCGCCCCCGCAATGTCGCGACCCCTCCAGCGGGTCGGGTCTCCGCAGCCCTCGGGATTCACGCGCCCCTTCAACTCTCACGACCTCGCGGCTCTCGCGCACCCCGCCCCCCTCCAAACCTCACAACTCCTGGCGCCCCTCGCGCCCCCCGGAGTCTCACGCGCCCCCTCAAATCTCGCGAACTCTCAAGCACCTCCATGCCTTCGATCCAGCACGCTCCCACATATCTCGCGACCCCTCGAGCCCCTCCGGCCTCGCACGCCCCTCAAATCTCGCGCCCCTCGGGTCTCGCGCGCCCCCGCAAATCTCGCGACCCCTCGAGCGCGCTCGGACCCCGCACGCCCTGCCCCCGCGCCCACGTGCCCCGCGCGGTGCCCGCCGGCATTGGGGCCCACGGAAGCTGCGCGGCCGCCGAGCCCCGCCCCCGGCTCCCGCGGCCCCGGCCCACCGACTCACTTCTCGCGGGCCTGGCTGTCGGAGGGCACGGCCGAGCCCTTGCCCCCCTTGGCGTACATGCTGCTCCGAGCCGCCGCCGCCGCCGCCGCCGCTGCCGCCGCCGGGGCCCACACCTGTCAGGCGGCACCGCGGGCCGCGCTAGCGGTCGCCATAGCTACCCCGCGCCCCGGGCCTCACCGCCCCGAGCCCCGCGCGGGCACCGTGGGCATCGTCCGCGCGGGGGAGCTCCAGACTGTCAAGGCGGCGGCGGCGGCGGCGGCAGCGGCGGCAGCTCCAGCTTCAGCTCCAGCCACGGGTTTTATTTTCTTCCTCTCTTCCCTCAGCGCGGGCTGTTCCGGGAAGCGCGCGCCCCCTCCTCCCGCCGCGCGCGCCCCCGCCTGCCGCCTCCCTGCCGCCCGCGGGCGCCGCTCTTAAAGGGGCGATGGCGGGCGCGCGGATGGGTCCCTCTGTGGGGACCGTGGGCCGGACGCGCACGCGCAGTGCCCGCCGCGGGCGGGGGGGCGGGTACACACACGCAGGCACGGGTGGGGACGGCCACCTGGGGACACGCAGCAGGATACAGCCGATCACGGCTACACGCACACTCCTCAGATAGGACCAGCCCCCCAAATTGTACGCCCAGGAACACAGCCACACACAGTTTCAGCTACACTCTCGGACACCGAACTACACACATAGATTCACACAGCTCCTGGAACAACCGGTGAGAGTTTCATAAACCAATAGGCAGTCACAGGGGGTATCACCCCGCAGAACTACCCCCACGCAGCTTGAGAGGGAACGCCACACATACAGCTCACCCAGGGACACGTTGTCATATACACAGAGGTATACACAGTGGCTATCAGAACAACAAAACACAGAGATCACCACTCACATAGACACACAGCCAGAGAGACACACGGAAACTCAGCTATGCTGCAGCTTCGGACAAGCTGTGGAAAGAGCCCACGCAGCTACTTACTGTCACCCTGGGCCACACGGTCACCCTGGGGAACACAGTCGCAGCCTACCCGGGGCTCCACGCACAGACCTGGGGTCTCCCAGTGCCATAGGTGAGTCAGCGTCACACAGTCACATAGCTTGTGGACACTCACACACATGCAACACAAAGACAACCACACGGCGGGGGGGGGGGGGGATACCTGGGTCACACCCTGGGAGCCACCCTGCCGGGCCCCACAGTCACACCCTCTGTCAATAGTAGCCGCTGGGTGATTGTCAACTGGGTCATTTCTTGCTGCCATTTCTCAACTTTTGTGTTGGCTGCTGTAAATGGGGCTCATCCCACCTTTAATTGGCCTTCTGCAGGAGTCAGGAATCCATTCCCCCTCCTGGGGCCCTTCTCCCTCCTGAGGGTGTGAGATGGGGGGGGGGGGCAGATGCAGAGATAAGGGCCCCAGGGCAAGGGTGCTTGGAAGGGGTGGCCGCCTCTGCCCGGACCTGCCTGCAACGAGGATGGGGGAGGCATACCAGTTGTGATTCCAGGTCTGGATGTTTCTGTGAATATTTGACATGGGTGTTCGTTTTTCCTGTGCCCTACTGCGAGTGTGTGTTTGTGTCTGTGTGTGAACACGCAGTTCCTGTGTGAGTGCACGTGTGCCTCATTATGCCTGGGGGTTGGCAGGTACCCCAGTGAAAGGTTGCTGTCTGCTCTACTGGCCCTGGCGCTGTGGCCAGTGATCGTGTGTCCTTGGTGCTTGTGGGGGCCCGAGTGACGCCGCCAGCTTGCGTTCACAAGTGTGTGTGCATTGCGTGCGTGTGCCTGTGCTTCCGCGCGTGGGTTGATTGCTAGCTCTTTGGGACCTGCATTGGGTGGTTGTGTGCTAGGGTTTCCTGCGTGGTGCGTGCGTGTGTGTATGTGTGAGTGTCTTGGGAGTACCCCCCTCCCATTGCGAGCTGACCCCGTTATACCTCCCTTTTAGAGGCCGCACCCCCCAGTGGGGATCCCCACCCGTCAGGCCTTTTGGCGGCCGGGAAGTCGGGAGACGCTGGGGTTCCAGACAGACGGAGAGGAAGGGAAGGGCCAGGCTGGCCCCAGCCCCGCCTCCATCCCGAGGGGCCTCGGCCGGGGTTGGAGGGGGACGCCAGCCCTTCCCACTTCCTGTCCAGCCGGTCGTCCCCTCCCCCAGCTTCCTCTCCCGCAGCACCCCCGCCCCCCACCCCAGAGCCCGGGCCCGGCTTTAGAGGAGGGGCCTGTGCTGCGAAGTCGTGGGGGTGCGGCCGCCAATCTTCTGTAGGGCCTCCAGCTGGGAGCGTCAGCGCCCCGGACGCCACGGGTGGGCATGGGGGTCAAGGGTACCCTCATCGGAATACCCGCTCCCAGTAGCACTCTCCAGTGCCTACTTTCAACGAGACGCAGAGACAGGGTGCCTCACCCAAGTCACACACTGTTTTGGTGACAACTGTGACACCCAGGCCTTGCGGACGCTCCTCCTGCCACCCCCTATTTATCTCCCAAAGCTCCGTGGCTCCCCAAGATTCTGTGCCCAGCGTGGGTCCCTCGCCCTCTCTGAGCCACGGTTCCTTGAGTCGTTGAATCCAACCTCCCACAAACATTTATTGAGCGTCTGTTGTATGCAGGGCTCCGGAGACCCAGGCAGGACGCGTTGCTACTGCTTGTGGAGCAGAGATTCTGACGGGGAAGGCTGACCGTCAAAAGCTGGGGAGTCAGTAGGATAATTTCAGGGAGTACCACATGCTAGGCAGAGGGAGGGGTTCCCGGTGGAGAGGACCAAGCAACCGGCGAGTGGGCCCGGATCCCGGAGCAGGGTGGAGGAGAGGGGAGAGAAGGAGGGAGACGGAGGCGCGAGCTGCGAAGGGGGAGGCGCGGCCGGTTGGAGCGACAAGCGCGGTTCTCATGGCAACGGGGACGGTTCTCCAAACAGCCTCGTTGCCGGCGGAAAAGTCCGAGAAGAGCGAGCCCTGGGCCCCACGCGGCGTCAGGGAAGCTGAGCCGCAAGCACACCCAAACAGGGCGCACGCCCAGCAAAAGCCAAACCCACAGAAGAGGCCCCCCGCCCCCGCCCCCATGCGAGGGAGGAGCATGGGAGGGGAGGAAAGTTTTGTTTTGTTTAGTAAGGGGAGGGGTGGATCTGAAAGATCTGAAAGCAAAATGTTCAGACTGCAGTCACAGAGGTGCAAAGGCCCTGAGGTGGGTGCACGGTTAAGGTGTTGGACGCAGAGCGAGGAGGGCAGTGTGGCTGGAGCAGGGGGAAGGGGGAGCCGGATCACTCCCGAGGGGACGGGTTGAGAGTTGTTCCATGAGCAATAGGGAGCCACGGGAAGGTGTGTAGCCATGAGGGGCTGGATAGGCAACAGGATTTTTCGGAAGCTCCGTGGGGCTCCTAGGTAGACTGGAGTGGCATGGAGGAGGCAGGAGGTTGCCCCGGTAAGAGGCCCAGGCATACCGGCGCTCTGGGCCATGGCAGGCCCGGGAATTGATTAAAGAGCCCGGGTGGGGACCGCAAGCAGAAAAAGCTAAGCGTCTAGGATGGATCCCAGACCGGCCATCTCTCCACCAGCTCCCGATCGCCCCCGTGTGGCTGCGCGGGCACTGCAGCCTTGAGCCGATTCTCTCTGCCTCTTGGGATTACCCCCGGGCTGGGGGCTGTTCCTGGGGGAGCCTGAAGCTGGCTGTGCTTGTAGGGCTGGAGGGTTGCCTGGAGGGGAGGCTGTCCCTCCCCACTTCGTTCCAGTCCTTCCCACCTCACGGTCTTTGCCCTACCTATTCCTGCTGCCTGGAGGGCAGTTTGGCTCCAGGCTTGGCCTATTCTAGTTCCTTCTCCGCCCCCCCATCCTCTCCCTCCTTCCCCTCTTTCTCCTCCCCTCCCTTCTTGCCTTCCTTGGGCATCTCCCCTAGATCACGGACTCTGCACTGGCCTTGGTTGGATTTGTCGCCGTTACGATAAAATGATGCATCAGATAATCTGAGGGCAGCCTCCGCCTCCCACTGGATTTGTCCTCCCTACGAACCCAGCTCTGGCGGCCGGCGAATGTGTTGCAGGAGTCGCTCGGAAGTCGGCTTTGGGTTTTCCTAATGATGGTTTTTCCTCTCCACTGGAGATGGAAGCAGCGCCCCCCACCTCCCTTCTCATTAAAGTGGCAGGCTTGGGGAGGGGCCGGGATCCGGAGGGCCGCTCCTGCAGCCCCGCCCCGGCCCTGCGTGGGAGGCGGGCCACAGCTGGGAGCGGGGTCTGGGCCCTGAGATGTTTCCTCGCAGAAGCTGTAATTACGGGTAATTTTCTAACTGCAACACAAAAATTAAAACCCAAACAACACCGGGAAGGGAGAAACCGCAGCAGCCGGTGAGCGCTAGAGCAGGGGTGGGAGTTCCCGCCCTAGCGGGAGGACTAAGGCCCCCAGTCCAGGAATGCTGGGGGAGGGGGGAGGCAAAGGCTCCCTCAGATAGGGTAGGATACTAGAAGAGGCAGCAACCCCTTGGAGTTTCAGGTTCCTGTATTCCCAAGACGGATTAACCAGAGGCAGAAGTCCTCCGATGGAGGATGAGCCTGGGTTTGAATCCTGGCTGTGCAGGTCCGCTTGTGAGTCTCTGAGCAGGGGAGGACTGAACTCCCAAGTATGCAGAGCTGGGAGGAACCCAAGCGAGAGAAGGGACCCAGCAGGACTGGGAGGAGGAGCCCCAACCAAACCCACAGCGCCAGCCCCTGCCCCAACACCTGTGTCCATCCTCCACAAGGCTTAGCCTGAGCCAATAAGCTGCCCTGCTTCCAGTACTTTCTGTGGGCTCCGGCGCCCACAAATTAAGTCCCTGCCCCTTTTTCCTGCACTTGAATTCCACAGCCAAACCAATCATTAGAAACTGGTGTGCTCAGCCCGGGATCAGAGCATCCCTGGGAAATCCATCCTGCAGCCTCATTGGAGAGGCAGCCTATCTTCTCCCCATGCTATAGAATGGGGAAACTGAGGCCTGAGAGGTACTGAGGGAGTCACATGGGTGACCCAGAGGCAGCACTTCACCCACTGTCATGCCTGCCCTGCCCTGTCTGCGTCTGGGAAATTGGAGGCATTTTGTGGAAACCTCAGGCCTGGGGGAAGGAGGAGGGAAGAGAGGAATGAAGGAGGGGAGAGCCTGTGGCAGCTACAGAGGAAGTTCTGCAGATAAAACTGAGGCTCAGCACAGGGAAGCAACTTGCCTGAAGACACACAGCAAAGAGTGGAGGACCAGGTCCCACGCTGGGATGCGCTAGCAGCATCCCTCCCTTACCTCCCCTCTCCAGAGCTCCAGTCTCTTCCTGTGGCAGAGGAAAGAGTTTCCATGGCATCCTAAGGTCCCACTCTCTTTCTGGGAGGTAAAGGGGAGGGGTCTTTTCTTCTCCATTTAGGAGTCCCTCAGCTTAATAACAACATTGGGGAAGGGATGCTTGCTAAGCACCAGAAATTGGGTATTTTTTGTCCATGATCCTGTTGTA